TGCAGTGAAGGACCTCAAATTTGTTCATTTAATGTTTACACCTGCAATTTCACCCGCTCCAATTGCGGTTCATGTGTCGAAAATGGTATTTCAATTGCAACACGCGTGCTGCCACACAAATCAACACCATCGCATCTCAATTTGGGGCATTGGAAATGTTTGCCCTTACCACACATATCATCAATGCCGGGGCATTCACCAGTTGCAAATTGAGTGTCGAACAGGAGATGAGTTTACCAACTATTGTGGCTATAGCTTGTTAAAACAAGGATATTGCCATGATTTATGAAATAGAGCTAGCCAGAGTTATAGGCAAAAAATGTAGCTATGTGTTTGGTTTTTATGTCTTGTACCAAATACAACTGTAGTTAAAATATATTCCTATGCAATATAAATTCATTGAGACATCTAAATCCTTTAAAAATAAATATAAATAAAAAATTACTTTACAGCTAGAAGTCGTTTACATTTTTTAAAATTTTACCTTCAAAATATGTTAAATATTTATTTAAGTATTTTACTTGCATTTGAGTTTGATTTTGCTGTATTAAAATCCTACATTTTCCAGCCAGGTATAAGAAGACTTTTCTCTTCAGTTTTAAATAGAACAGGTCAATAAATCTTCAAAGTTGAGCGTTTCAAAAATGTATAAGTTAGGAACATTCTATTAATCGTGTTTTACTGGAATTGTAGTTGATAAATATTTTAATAATTGATATATTTAATGGTTTCATTTCAATTTTATATTTGACATATTGAAATCTTAAATAAATTTCTTTAAGTATCTGAATATCATCAAGGCTTATCATTAAAAAAAGTCATGGAATTTTAAACCTTTTATACTCGTAAATTAAATTTTACAGGGACTACATTATTTGAATATCTATTTTTGTGCTATACTGAATGTTTTCATTTGAATATGGTTTTTGGCATGTTCAAATCTTAAATACAATTCCAACCATCTACATATTTGACTCTTGTTAGTTTCCACTATCGCAGGCCGTTAAATAATATCTTTAAAGTTAAGAATATTTTAAGAATCATATTTAACTGAAATTTAAATGGTTATGGAATTTCATTTTTGCATTATTCAAATCTTTAATACATTTCCAGTCATCTACATATTTGTTTACAAGGCGACTCTTCTCAGTTTCCACTATAGCAGGCCATTAAATCATATCTTTAAAATTAAGAATATTTTTAGAATCATATTTTACTGAAATTCAGTTTGTTAAATATATATCTACTGTTTGTTTTTAATTGAATTTCATTTTTGCATTATTTAAATCTTTAATACTTTTCCAGTCATCAATATATTTGTTTACAAGGCGACTCTTCTCAGTTTCCACCAGAGCAGGCCATTAAATATCTTCAGTTGTGAAGGACCTCTCCTCGCGTTCTATTTCCACTCCGACTGGATTTGCCCGCCGTAGAGCTTCTCAGGTTTTGAACCAGCCGCAATATCCCTATTCCCGAGCTATTTACGTATACATATTGTGTGGCCGGGTGTCAGTTGGTCTGATTTGTTTGCCTTCGCCGGCTTGGCAAGTGGCCATTACAAGTGGCAAGATGGAATAGTTGCCCGGCCAGCTTCCGGTTGCCTTCGCTTTCGTTTTCACTCCATCCCCCCTGGGAGGATGGCCATCAATTTGGCCCTGTTTGTGTTTGTTTTCGTGTGTCTTGTGTTGCACGTTGCCGCCGTGCAGCAGCAGCAGCTGCAGCTGCAACACGAGATGTTGCTGTCGGTTGGGCACATGAAAAATGAACCGGCTGGGTTGTAATTTGTATGGGGAAAGGGCCCAGAAACAGGAGCAGCGGCAAAGGATAAAGAAAAGTGCCAAAGTGAGGCGTAAATCCAGGCGACCCGAAATGGCCCAAGAAGCGGATGGCGGGGTCGGTTTAACTGGCCTTAAAAAATAAAATATACATATTGCATATCCGCGGGCACGCAATTTTACACGCACACATACCGCCCCCAAAAAATCTGACCCAGCCGAAATCCACAATCGTAACCATAGAAGCTTGGTAGGGGGTCTCAGGACCCTGGTCCTTACGAAAAATGAAACGACCTAGTCATACCCTCAATTTTGAGACCAGTCTTCCTAAAGGCATAATAGTTTTCGTTGCGAAATTTATCTGAAAATCATCATGTGCTATTACTTATTATTTATACTTCTTTAAACTTGAACATAGAATATTTATAGCAGTGTTACACAAATAAATTTAATTATGTTTATATGAACATTGGGGGTCAGATTTTTGGTAGTTACTTTAAAAAAATAATTCAATACAGAGTTGTACATTTCAAAAATCGAAATAAAGCTATTGAAAATCAAGTTTAAAAAAGTAAAGTAAGTCTTGCTATTGACTTAATAACAAGCACTAATCTTAAGTTTTAAGTATATGAGTGCATGTATCTTATTGGGATATTTAAAAAGTAGGTTAAACTATTACTAGGTAGGAGTGGTTGGAGATTAGATCCTAATCCCCACACTTAGGCCTCATTAGGCCCCTTGTGATAAAAAAAAACTATTACTAAATTTAGTTTTAAAATAGTTGAAAATATTTTTTTTTATTCAGTTCATATGCAGATTTCTTAAGGAATATTCAAATGTACAAGTACTTCTAGCTTTTAAAACATAACAATAATACTTACTTAAATATTGCATAATTGCTAATGACTAAATAACAAGCACTAGTCTTAAATTGTAAATATATGATTGCAAGTATTTTATTCGATTTTTTAAAAAGTATTTTAAAAATGATTTTAATTTGTTTAAAATTATTGGTTCTGTTTATTTCATATGTTGATTTCTAAAGGAATATTAGGTAACGTACAAATACTTCTAGCTTTTAAAACATAACCATTATACTTTCTTAAATATTGCATATACATTATCCGCAATGATTGAAGATCATATTATGGTTACTTATACATAATATTTATTTTTTATTTATATAAAGCTAACTTAAGATTAAAATCTATAAGCTAACTCATGAGGTTTAAGCACTAGCAGCTACGGCCCTCAACAAGATTTATACATTTTAAAATCACTAAAGATAAGGACATCTTGCCCTAAATAGGTCTCAAGTAAAAATGTTTAACCTTTTACAATTTCGAATATGTTATCTAGACAATTTGTTCACTATTATAATAACTATATACAGGGTAGCAAAGCCAGACCGCAAAGGAACAGCGCGAGCAAGCAATTTCATAGCCTACTTAGCGGCGCACGCTGCGAGTTATTCAAATTTGAATTAGGCAGGGCCAACATTTTATGGCTCCCACTGTCTGTCTGTCAGTGTATGGGTGTGGGTCTTTGTGTGGTTGTGTACCGCCGTATGGTTCTATAGATGTGTGTGTGCCCTTTTTGGGAGGAAACCCAAAAGTATGCAGCATCTGCGTGGTACCCAGGCAAAACTTGCGGCATAAAATGCGTGGCACATGTGACGGCAACGGTGAGCGCTCCTTAATTAGATCATAGTTCCCCATCGTGACGCAGGGCAGCGTTTTACTGCCATCTCGGTGGAACACGAACCAGAAACAAGAACACAAAGAGCCCAAGGAGCAATGGAGCGATGGTGCGATGGTGGGACCAGGACCAAAACACCATCAACGTCATGCCCGCCCATCATCATCCTTATCATGGTACAGTGGGGCCAGGGCCAAGAAATTAGATTAAAAACTAATAAAATTAATCCATAAAATGAAAAACCTTTCCCTTGGCTATTAGCTGAATTTCAAATATTTTTGCCCTAATAATGCAATCAATCAATATACAAATTTAAATTGAAAGAAGAAACTTACGCGAAAAGTTTTGAAGGATTTTTTTTTATTTTATTAAGATATGGAAACCTCCACTTGCTCTGAAACATATGGGGAAATGAAGCAGAAATCTCATGGATTTTGGGATTTTTGTCTAAAAGTATGCAATGAAAATTTGTCTAACTTGAAACATATCGTTGCATACTTTTAGACACCTTAATATTTTATTTAATAGCACTAGTGATTTCTAACCATTGCTATATAAGTGAAAAAATTAAAAGTGGTTAAAAAAACCTTATTATTAGTACATCTATCTTTTTTCTTGATTCTTGACCCACTGTCCCTCGACTAGAGAGTTGTGGCACATTATTGACTCACGCGCCGCATCGAATTTCCAACTCAATCATGGACAGAAAGTCGTCTGGGAAAAGGGCAAATGGTGGGGGGGGGGGGAAAGCGGAAAATGGGAAATGGGAAATTTCGCCTGCTTTATGACTGGCAACTCACGCGACGCCACTCGCCAGCGTTTACGGTATTTGCATTTTAATTGAATTGAACTAAATTATTTTGTTTAGAGTTGGAAGGAATTGCCAGCCATTGAAAGCCTCAAAGTAGGCAACAGTTTCGCGAGAATGTAAAAGCCACAAGCCGCTAAAAAGTTGCACGAAACTTTGACATAAGACTCTGGCCGCAGGAAGAAAGTGAGATTGTCAGCGGGAGGGCTCTTGGGGCTCTAAGAAAACTTTTCTAATGGAGGGGCTTTCGCGCCGTGGCTGATTGGGCGTCCATCTTACCCAAACTCAAATCCAGACTGCACCCTGGAAATTAAGCGTTAAGTCCCCTCAAAAGTGAGAGAACGCCCAAGTTTGGCATAAAAGAATGCAGTTTTGAGTAAATCCCTTAATGATGTTGATGGCCGGTGGAAAATTTATGCTTTTCCAAGGACTTTAGGACTGGAATCTAGGTTAATTTTGTTAACTTAGTGTTTATTAATTATCTTGAGTAACCAAAAACAAAACTGAATACATAACTTAATACAACGTGTCTAAAAGTATGCAGTAAATAATACAAACATAGCATTTCCAAGTGAATTCATCGCACTTTCGAATATTAAATATATTATTGCATACTTTTAGGTACCTTTATAAAAGATTAATTTTTACTTTGATCTTTTTAGTTAAATATATATTAGTTTTAAAATAAATTTTAACCACACAATGCCCCACCGTTCCAGATGAGTTCTGCGAAGAGTATCCGCATAACCTGATGCCCACTCCTGGTTATTGGATCGAGTGCTCCCGCCAGAAGATCTCCATGCCCACGCCGCACACCATTTGGGATGAGAGCGACTCGGAGCACGAGGACATCAGGGCAGGAAGTGCCAGCGATGCCTACCTGGAGCGCGAGTGCAGCGATCTCTACGAGGACGACGAGGATTCGGAGGCCACGCCCAGGTGAGCTTTACTTGGCCTGTTAAATTATTTACTCTCAAAGAAAAAGGAGATATACGAGTATCACCATTGAGATTTTCTTTCTTAACGAATTTTCAAACTGAATATACATAAAAATATTTCCCAAGAACTATATATAATATATATACATATATTTTTATAATATGATATGATATGTATAATATGATACCTATTTTATATATGATATGATGTATATACAATATTATATATATATTTTTATATGATATGATGTATATATTACATATTTTCATATGATCCCTGCAGTCCCCGCAAGAAGACCACCATCGAGGAGCAGTGGGACCAGCAGGGCGCCTTCGAGCTGATCTCCGTGGAGCAGGAGACGTACGAGAAGTACTTCTATGGCACCGAGCACTGGAACTACTTCACCAGCGACGAGGACCTGGGTCCGGTGATCCTGTCCATCAAGCAGGAGACGCTCAACGGACGGGATCAGTTCCGCATCCTGGTGCGGGCTGGATCCTACACAGTGCATGGACTGATACCGGCGTCCTGTGTGTTTGCCGATAGGTAAGTTAACTGAAAAAACCCTATAAAAGAAGTCTATAGTTTTTATATATACATATTGGTTCCAGTATTTTATAAAAATGTTACTTCCTAATGTACCTTTAAAACTTCAACATTTTACAGATATAATCGCGAGGAGGTAGTTAGATCTTTAGGTAAAGAAGTTAATTTAAATCCACCCTTAACGTTAGGACAATTACCCGATACGCCAGAGGAATTATTAAAATTAGATCAGGTTCGTACTTATTTGATGGCTTAAAATAAAGTTTGGTATTTTTAAACACGCATTTACCTCTCGATAGGTTTTTATAAAATCAGAGTTAAAAGTTGGCGTCATATTTGTCAAAGAGGATCAGTATACCGAAGAGCAAATTCTGGACAATAATGAAAATTCACCGCTCTTCGACGAATTCCTCACGCTACTGGGCGATCGAGTCCGGCTGCGCGGATTTGATAAATACAAAGGTGGCCTTGATACGGTGCACGACCTGACAGGTGAGTGGAACTACCTACGAGTATTTCTATAATTTTTAAATTCATTTGGATTTTTTTAAATAAGAAATTGCCAATAATTCATTGATAAAAATCAATATTAACTTTTAATAATAAAATCAAAGGTCGCCACACAAACAGTATACCGCAAAAGTTATAGACATTTTACAAAACCTAGAGATATTCAATAAAATATTTTCCGTATTCTTTTTATACCATCTTTAAAGGTCTCTTCTCCGTCTATACGAACTGGCGCAACATCGAGATCATGTTCCATGTGTCCACCTTGCTGCCCTACGAGAAGCACGATCCGCAGAAGCTTCAGAGGAAGCGCCACATTGGCAACGATATCGTCTGCGTGGTCTTCTTGGAGGCGGATAACACCCGCTTCAGTCCCGCCTGCATCAAGAGCCATTTCCTGCACACCTTTATCCTGGTAAGTCCTGATTACCTTTATTGATCCAAGTCACAGACATACAATATAAAGTAAATATATTTTTTTATTATTATTTATTATTATATATGTTATATTTTGTTTTAAGAACAAATCGTTTTCGATGTTATTATAATATTATTATTAGCCAGAGAAAATTCGAACGTTCTCATCTGAGTTGAAAATGTTCTTAAAAATAGAACGAAATTTGTCCTGTCCGGTATTTACATTGTATATCTCAACAATTAAACTATTAGTCCCGTCAGTAGTGCATACTTATTAAAAAGTGGTTAAATAGACTGAATTTAACCTTTCTCTTCTCACCATTTCCTTATAATATTGGGAACATTGGTAGCAAAATGTACTTACACGGTTTTTAAGAACTAATGTTCTCAATTCAAGAACAATGTACTTGAATATTTCCCTCTGTTAACTAAATCCCTCTGATTTTTCTCTTCTCCAAAAGGTTCGTGTTTCGGCCAGGATCAAGCACAAACCAACGAGATACGAGGTATCCGTGGTGACCCGCGACGAGGTGGGTGCCTACAAGCCCTACCTGTGGGAGCAGTCCGTTTTCGAGAAGGGGCCGATGTTCCGGTGAGTTTCAACCTTTGGGAACATACACATATCTACAGAAACCCCCACACTTTCCCCACAAGAAATCCCCCCTAAAATCTGATTTTCCCTAGGGAATGGCTGCTGACGAAGATCGTGAATGGGGAGAGGGCCTCGTATTCGGCACCGAAATTCGCCCGAATGCAGGAGCGAACCCGGTCGCAGATGCTCGAGGATCTGGTGATGAATCTATCGAATCATGCGGAAACTGGACAGATACCGAAGCCATATAGACGGGGCAGTTGGCGACCGATCGGTGAGGATGAATATATCAAAATGTTGCATGCCCGAGTCCTAGACAACAACACACATCACGAACAGCAGCAGCAGTTGCTGATGCAGCAGCAGCAGCAGCAACAAATGCCGCACTTGCAACACTTGCCGTCGCACAACATCTGCTGCTATTGCAATAACAATGCCAATGAGTTGCAATCACACCACAACAATAACAATAACAACAACAACACAACAGCCACACACAGACACAACAACAACAACAGCAACAACAACAACAATAACTATGAGCAACAACAACAACAGCAACAGCAACTACTTGAGAGCCAACAACAGCAACTACAATTGCTGCCACAACAACTACTGCAACACCATCTGCAATTGTCAACGTCGTCACTCACACACACGTCGTGTTGTGCCATGTTGCACCTGTGTGCGAGGCATAGTATGTGTGCCACGCCCCCAGACCACAGCCCCCCAGCTTTCACCGCCCCCTTTCACCCCCTTTTCTTCGGCCCGCATGTTTTTTGCCTGGCTTTGATGAATGACTTCTCAATATTTACATTTTCCTGGGCTCACCAAGAACATTAAAGAAGGTCCCAAATGAAAATTATTTAAAATCATCTGGGTCAGATCTTTGGGGATTTATCTCTATTACAAGTGGGGAATATCATTGAGAGTATATACCAAACATTTTAAATATTAAATCGTATATTAGAACCAGGAAATTAGCAAGAGTCTTGGGGTTTCACGATCATACAAAAATTTAGTTAGTTTGTCATAGATATAATACATATATTCCTCCAAGAAATATGTCTTTACATATATAGGTTATAGTTACCTTATAATCAATCATGTTTTAGAAAGGGGGATGAACTTTATTTAGTTCTGAAAATGATATCAGATATATATTTAAAACATTTCTTAGGGCTTTTTTTTAAGTTAAATAGTTATTTATTTATTTAAATAAACACCAGTATCGATGCATGATTGTATAGACAACATCTAATGCTTGATGTATATATTTTGTTATATATTTCGTAAATGATTTGGCAAATATAGCTTTGTCCATTGTAAATAAAAAACTTAGTTCAGTAATAAATTTAAAGACTAAATTCCAAGAATATCCCTTCTTTAAAGCATTAAATCAGCAAGTTCTTTAATAAATCGCCAGCTTCTTTCTTGCATTTCCTTTTTCTTGGCCTTAAAGCAAATCGCTAAGATTTCCTACTTTCCGTCCGACTTTAAGGAGATTTATAAAGAAATCGCGAGAACAAATTGCAGGCATTACTGGCAGCGGAACCAAAAATAAAAAAGGAAAATAGAAAAAAGGACATTTGCATTTGGTCCTTTGTGTCACGGCTGCTGTACGAGTATGTTTGATTAATCGTTTTGTCTTGCTTTCGGTTGAACTTTCACCCGCTGAGAGAGAGGGAGACGGAAGAGGCGGAAAGAGAGAGAGGGGGAGGGGGAGAAACACACACTGACACTTCCGTTTCCGCCATTAACACATCCGGCTGTGTTTGTGCCCACCGGAAACGTGCAGTCGTCGCTCGAAGCAATCACAGGGCTGTCTCACTTTCTCTTACTTTCTCCCCCTCTCTCTCTCTCGTGTCAACTTTATCCCCCCCCCCCACAAGGACAATCTGCTCGTCCTTTATCTACACACAGCGACACTTGTCCGGCCAAGAAATATTGTTCATGTTTGTGTTATTTTATCAGTGGGGGATATCTATTGTTCCAGCCGCCCATCACCACCCACAAACCACCCACTAAACACCACACCCCCCCCCCCTAGGATGTTGTTGCTGTTGTTGGTGGTGTGTCGTTGCTGTTGCTGTTTGTTGTGATTTTGTTTGGATTTCTTGTTATTTATTTGTTGCTATTTGTTGCACTAGACAACACAAATCTAATTTGATTTATTCATGCACACTTACACACCCGCAGATAACCCCCACCCCCCGCACACACACACACACACACTAGCACACTGAGAAAACCCGGAAGTGATCCCCATTGGGAACTATCCGTATTGAAATTATGCAAATTACTGCTCCAATAGTTTGGCATTTCCATTCCAATGCGATTGGGGAACTGCATAAATTCGGGGTTCTATATGTGTACAAACACAGCTGTGTTCAAAATAATAGGAGTGGTCAACCAGCAATAATTATAAAGATTTACCTTATAAAGCTAATGACAATTTAAAAAAAAGTTACTCTAAATAAGCCAATGATTTTAAAAAATTAAAAATGCAAACAAGACAATAATATTCTTTTAATGTTTTAGATAAAGAACTTGATATTTGATATGATAGAAGAATTTTTCTTCTCTAGTACTAAAATCCTGCAATTCTTTGTAATTCTAATATTTACAAAGCATATTTCATTATATTTGTTTTTTGTTGCCTAATCACTTTTGCATAAAATGTTTTTTAAAAATAATTTAAAGATTACAGTTTTTTCCATAAAAGTTTACTAAGAAATAATCTCAAAAAATAATTAAGTTAATATATATTAATTTTATATTAAGTTATAAAAAATACTTTCGATATATTTAGCTCAGTTATTATTTTGTAACTGAACACAGCTGTATGCATATACATATGTATACTCCTAAGAACCACTCAATTATATGGCCAGTGGAGACTTTATTGAACTCATATTGGGTTTATAAGGATGGCGCCCCATCCCTTTTATGATATTTGCCATATGCCAGATGTTGCCAAATGTTTTTTCTTATCGAAAGGATGATTCACTTGTCAAAAATTAGTCATTTAATTTGAAAAAATTCGATATATTTGTATATTTTATTAAATTTAAGATTTTAAGAAGATTTAAAACAGTTAAAACTTGTTTAAATCCTCCCTGCACACTTCTACACTGGTTTACCCATATTTACATAAGATAATAAGCATGTCACATGCATGACTTTTAACTTATAAATAAATTTCTTTCAGCGACTTTATCCCAATGATTTATATAGATATAGATTTTTAAATAAGGAATATTAAAAAAGATAGCAAAGTAACAAAGGAAATTCCCCAATTTGTTTTCTGCAGGTCACATGCGACCGTCGTCACCACTTCTGGATTCCGTTCGCGATCAATTCGAGGACTACGACCAGCTGGCCAAGGACTTTACCCGCGTATTTCTAAACGAAGAACCGTCGTGCCTGACCAACGCCCATCTCTTCGATGTCGTATTCCTGGTGGGCCAGTCCAAACAGAAGGCTCGATTTATAGGGGTCCGGGCGATCCTTGGTGTGCGGAGTAGAGTCTTTCAGGTTAGCTTCATAGAATTAAGAGTCATTTGTTAATAGTTTGATGTGTTATTTGTCTTAAAAAATAGAACTCCTTATTACAAATTACAGAAAAATTTATTACAAACATTGATAACAGAGCGTATGAGTAATAAACCATTTATGCACCCAGACAACATTGCGTATGAGTAATAAAATGGCGGTATCAAGGTTACTCATACGCAATGTTGCCATTTTTAAAGCTCACTCATAACTGCGTACAAGCAATAAATCCTTGAAATTGTAGACTATTATCGTATTGTGGTTAATTGTATTTCCCTTAAAAACGAAGGACAGACGAAATATGACGCAAACTAATTCTTTGACCACAGTAAATGTGAGTGAAAGCTCACTTACCTTGAGTTTAAGAACAATAGGTTTGGCACGCAAGCGTTTAAATATAAACAAACCTTTGTTTATCCTAAAAAAAAAATAATAACATTCAGAACTATTGAGTGGCCTTCTCCATTTTTCAATTGAGACCTTTGAAACTTTTATTTGTGCTCAAAATTATAGTAGTTCCCTAAGAAGTACTATTCAGAGCATAAGTCCATTTTCCCCATGTTTATTTTTAAGCTACTAATTTTTATAACCAACAAAATACCAAGGGCAATCTGTAAAGGGCAATCACATCTATAAATGGTTATTAAATAAAAAAAAAAACGTTAAGCGAGTCATCAGTTATTGATTTTTCGATGTATTTTAAGACGAAAACTTACACCAATACCTTTCACAAAAGGTTTAAAAGTTAAGCGAATGAAAAATGGGAATATACTGAATGAGTTTTACAAAGGTTTAATAGTTAGGTGAATGAAAAATTGAAATTACTGAATGAAACAAAAGTCTTTTAATTAAATATAATTACCAAAATATTACGGAATGAAAAAAAATCCTTTGCAAACAAAAAGGCATCGGAGTTTGTATAGGTTTAAATTTGTTTTAACAAGACTTCTAAGACACAAGGAACTATTTAATCTTTGAAATAATGTGATCTTTACTGTAATGCTCTTTTATTTTCCTTATAGGAAATGCTGTATGGCATTCAGACGGGCTTCGGATCTCCGCAGATTCCCGTGGCGGAGATCTTCGCGCGGCCGGCTCCCTCGCTGGTGTCCCCGCAGAACCAGAAACCCAAGAGCAACAACTACCTGACCGTTCCCGACTCCGACTCCATCCGGCCGAAGAGCGTGCCCTCGTCGCCGATGGTGAAGCGGGCCTTCTCCCGGCTGGGCACCATTACGGCCGGATGGGGCAGGTCGATCCGGAACAAGAACACCAACCAGCTGAATCCGGATGACAAGAAGAAGTGGATCTCGTCGACAGATTGTTCGAGTAAGGGTTTTCAGTCGGTGCAATGCAACCATATCGATGCGTGTTCTTTTCTCTCCGCTCTCTTTTGTTCTCTTCTCTCCTCTCTCTCCTGTGCGACTTGTGTTGATTTTCCGCATTTCCACATTACGTATACGTCCACCGTCTGCGTCCTTGCGTCCTTAAAAAACTCTCCAACTTTGCATCCCTAAAAAACCGAATCTTATATATGCAACTTGAAAAACGCACGCCGCACAAACTTTGCCTCAACCTAAAAAAAAAACTCTGCGTACTTTATATAACCATCACCTGATCTCAACTGTCTTATAAATATATATATGTCCTGAACTCTATAAATACACCCGATCGTATGTCTTGTTTCGAACGACCACCAAACCTCTTTGTTGTGTTCCTTTCGTTGCCATTTGGTTTATCGCATAAAATATTCTGGACGTGGTTCTTTCGTTTGCAAAAATTTTGACAATGCATCCTTTGTACAATTGGCCAAATAACTATTTTTTAAACCCACTTTCTGTTTGAATTTTACTGCACTTGATGTGATATTTAATATAACTGAAAACTCAAATATCACCATCGAAAAATCATCCTTCTGTGTATATTGTCAATGCTTATTTATTTTACCTGCCCCTATACCCTGGAAATTGTTTTCCATATTTTTTTTTTATTTTAATTTAAACTTTAAACCTTTAAATTAATAAAATGAAATATAATTTCCGTATACTTAATATGAAATTCACCACAAAACATTCCCGCATTCCACTCCATTTCACCTCTACTCACCACAACTGCTTGCATTTTTACTGTTATGTACGATTTTGGAACAATTGGATTCGACACCAAACTGTTTTGAACTCTCGTTTGACTTTCTCTATTACTTTCACTACTTGACTTGATCCTTGTTTCCACTATCCTATGTCTACAATCTGTACTCTATGTTTCTCTCTTTTGTTGATCTCAACAAAATGCCATTCAACGTAAAACAACCAAACGAAATAATTTAAATTAAACAACAAACAAAATTTTGTCATTTTCTCATCTCACGTGACTCGCCAAACGCCTCACCACTCCCAAAAAAAAAAAAATTACAAATAAAAATAAAAATAAAAAACCCGTCGCTCACTCAACACAAACTTCTTAACTTAATGCCTTTGTTTTCACCAATTATTTTATTGCCGACTGACAAATGATTTGATTTGCAATTATTATTTGCGGCTTTTGCTTTGCAATCGTTTGTTTCCTTATTTCGTTAACTTTGACGATAACCGATCAACAATAACCGACCAACCGACTATCGACAAACGATGACCGATCGACCAACGCCCCCTCCCACTCGATAACACCTCCCACTGGCGCCTGCAGACAGGGACAGCAAGGACAAGGACAAGGACAAGCCGGGCAACAACCAGCTGGCCGTGCCACGCCTCTCCGTCTGCGCCGACGCCCAGAAGGTCGATCGCGCCAAGCTGGCCCAGACGGAGTTCAACATCATCGAGTTCGACCCGGACACGTTCCGGGTTCTGCTCGACTACCTGCACACGGGCACCTGTCCGCTGACCTGCGTCTCCATACCAGGTGAGAAAACGCGAATTCTTCAGGTCTACGCGATCTACAAAATGGTATTTTTTTAAATTTAATACAATTTTAAGCCGCGAATTCTTGAGTACAATACTTTCAGCTCGCATGAACTGTTTGGTTTTGTATAGGGTCTAAAAATGGTACTTAAAAACCTCTTCAAATTAAAAAAAAAATTTAATCCGCAAATTCTTAAGTACAGTATTTCAAGCTAGCATAAGCTGTTTGGGTTGGGTTGGGTTAAAAATGGAACTTGTAAACCTCTTAAAATTTAGAACAATTTTAAGCCGCGAATTCTTAAGTACAGTATTTTTTCGTTTACCATGGAGAATGATACAAAATATTTGCTCACGTATGTGTGTTTAAAAAAACGAAAACAGGATATTTTCGAATATGTATAATCTTTCTTTATTTTAAATATTCTTGTAAAGTATAATAAGCTAAAGTTTTTAATAATAAATGTTTAATAATCTTACTGGCGAACTTAAGTTGTATTTGGTATATTACTTACCAGGGCCAATTTTTTCTTTGTAGAAGGAAGAATAACCTAATTCTAAGAAAGTTAACATTTTTACTTTTTGAAATATGTTGAAGTATTAAGGAAATTAAAAAAAAAAAAATACAACTATTTTATTCAAATAATTTTTTTCAAAATAATGATATTTAATTTTAAAATAAGAGTACTTTAAATTGGTGCTCGACCTATGCCAAATCTGGTCACATTTATTTTTTATTAAATCAATTTTGCATACAATTCGTAAAATTGGTGTTCGACATATGCAAACTTTGGTCAGATTTATTTTTTTACATCATTACTAAAATAATTAAAATCAAATTTTTTTTTTATTTAAAGTCGTTAATTACTGATGATTAACATACATTTCTTACTAAAATTTCAAAGTTTACCAATCACACTTACATGAAAAACTTACTGATTAGAAAGGTGGTAGATAAAAATGGTATATCTGATATAATATATATTAGTAGATGTATCCTTTCAAAATTAATTAATAATAATAATAATAATAATATATTGCAATATATTGGTAAATGTTTCTTTTCTCAAAGAGTATTAACTTATATCTTTTTAAAAATATTTTTCCAGGTCTTCTGTGCGCCGCGGAGCACTACGACCTGCCCGAGCTGCTGCAGGCGTGCTTCCACCACTGCAAGCAGTTCCTCCGCATCGAGGTGGTCTGCCCGATGCTCATCTCGCTGGAGAACTACTACTGGCGCTACACATCCGCCTCCGAGCTGGTCAACATGATCCTGTCGTTCGTGGAGAGCAAGGCGCACTCGCTGTTCAAGTGCCCGGAGTTCCTGCATCTCTCCGAATCGATGGTCCAGATGATCATGTGCCGGGAGCTGCAGACGCCGGAGATTCGGAAATTCGAGGCTATGTTGGCGTGGGCCCAGCACAAGGTGGGCAAGCTGAAGAACCATCCCAACAAGGACACCCAATTCGAGTTCGAGTGCATTATGGAGCGGTTGACGCGGGATCTGAACCTGTGCCGCATCTCGCCCAGCGAACTGCTCACCGTTGTCCTGCCCTCCAAGTCGATGAAGAACGAACGCATCATGGAGACGTTGATGGTGCAGGTGAATTTGGGCACCTATAGGATGCCCGAGTTGGATGCGTACCGTCAGCAGTTGCGCCAGCAGGAGTCCGCCGAGGCCACCGTCCAGGTCCACCGGGGTGGATGAGACAGTAAGAATGTGAGTTTCGATTTGGAGCAGCAGCAGCAGCAGCAGCACCTCCAGCAGCAGCTTGATCAGCAATCGGATACGGATGCCACAGTAGTTGTCCACCAGCACCAGCAGCAACACCACCAACAGAACCACCACCATCAGAATGCGCAACCCATCGATGCCCGTGCTTATGCCATGGCCTCCCTGGCCGCCGCCCTCGAGATGCAGCATCCGCTGCAGAATCCCCATCCCCTCCAGCATAATGCACCCCGCGATGCCACCGACGAGGAGGTGGAGCTGTATGCCAGCTTCGATAATGCACCGAGCACCAGCCGGGTGGCCGCCCAGATGCAGGCCGCCAAGGAAGCGCGCCGGAAGAGATGGGCGGCCGATGGGGCCAGCGGGAGCAGCGGGGATGGCGGGTGTGCCAGCGGCAGCAGCGGCAGCGGTCGGCGGTACTAAACCAACGGGTGTGACCCTGTGTGACTGAGTCAAAATGTAAACCTAATATGCAGAAATTCGCCAAACCTTTAATTGGAAAAAAAAGCTAGAACCAGTTGGGAATTATAACATCGTAGAAGTAAAAAAACTTCTTTGTTCTACAAAAATGTTCTAACCTTCAGACAAAATTCGCCAAAAAAATATAAATACAATGTACAAAAAACAAATTTCAATGGCGAATTTCTAATATTTAGGATACACTTTTTAATGAATATGAAATGAATGAATTTTGAGCAGTGATTGGAAGAATATTTTTTACCTAACATATAAATCTAGATAAGTTCATTGGACCGCTTAACCTGAATTCCATTTAAAAAAAATAATAATTCATTCAAGTGCTTACATTTTTTTTTTAGTTTTTAACCACATGCCTTAGCTTAAATAAAAAGTGTATTACTTTGTTTGGCACACTATGGTTCGCAAAGCGATTTGGTTGAAATTTGCTTTCTTATTTATTACAAAATTGGTATAAAGAGAAAAGCAAATAATATTGAGTTTCAAAACAATAAGATATATTTAAGTTAAAAACTTCAAGGAAGGTGTCTTTATAAACCTAATTTAGACAAAAGAGTTTTGTTTTATTTTTATATTATGAAATGTTTTGGCGTTACGTTGACTTGTTATTTAAATTCTTATCTATTGAATAAGTTTTAAAAAAAAATACCTTTTTCATTTCAGTCACTCAATCGAAGTCTTAATGTTTGGGCGCCACTTGGTTCTAAATTATTTAAGTTTTAAACATGAAAGAGGAGTATTTCCCCAACCAATACCCTTTGTTTTTTATAAAATTAAAAAACTTTATAAAAGAAATGTTCGTAATCTAAATTTTCATACCTAGATAGGCCATTGCATTTGGGCAAATATTCAAATTTGTATAGATACTTCTTATCACTGTGTGAGTGGGTGACTGGATGACTGTTTTTGAGTGATTTTTGTGTGTGAGTGGGACTAACCCATCGCTCGAAAGGACGCCCGAACCATCCAAATCGAAACTGACATTGTTAACTCTTACATTCACCCCGGAATGACAAGAGCCCCCGATTTTTGGGGGGGTATTTTGAGAGAGAGCGGAGGGAGACGGCGGCCCAAACCCACCCCCTCCCGCCCCCCTCTTCAGAAGATATTGGTGGAGGATCCCAGGCAAAGGCATAAGCATTTTCTACAAGTATTACCCAACATATATATGTATATGTGTACGTCGCGTATGATTGTCCTAGAAAGGTGTGTAGACTAGTGTGTTAAGGAACCACTGTGGCATTCGAATTTTGATACCCACAATCGAACATAACCCCAAAAAAAAATAAAAATAAAATGCAGCAAGGAAAAACAGTCGCAAAAAAAAGGGAAAAACCAGAAAAAAAACAAACGCTTACTGATGTAAAACAAAGACTTAAAACTTAAAAAAAAAAACAAATAAATATGAATATAAATGGTAAAAGAATTTTTTTAATAAATGTTATTGAACAATGTAAGCTGAATAAAAAAAACATCCTCTTAGCCCGGCCCTCTTCCCACTTCCCACTGTAAACCAGTTCCCTCAATAAAATCAAGTTACCCAATTTATTACCTAAGGAACTACTATATGATGTACTTAAATGTTCATGAGAATTGCAAGCATAATCTAACTGTTCGATAGCTTTTCTGTTTGGTTTTTGTATTGTATGTTAATTTGTTACTACAAGAAAGCCAATGGAGAATATTATAAATAATTATCTACATTTCAAGACAAGTTCGCTTGTGCTCCTGTACATTAAATACTGGTAACTATAGTTATACTAAACTGTAATATTACCATTACTTGTTCGTACAAGTAAAGAGAGTCCAGAGAACCAGAAAAACCGTTACATAAGTGCAATATCTAAGTGTATGTTTGTATAGCCAATAAAGTATTTGACCTAAGAAACAGTCCCTGCAAAAAAAACAAAGCAAAACATATATAGAACAACCTCAGAACAAGAAAACCAACCAAAAAGGAATCACTTCCGATAGATTGGAGCCGAAAACCCCCAGAAAACCTGAACAGAAATTCAACTTAAGGCTATAAAAGCCAAAGAAACTAAAAACACAATATTACCCATAAAAGATCCTAAGAAATCCAAAGTGTAACCAGAAATAGAAAAGAAGAAAACAAAAGATACAAAACCTATAGCTTAATTGGTGTTATTGATCCCCTAGGAAATCAGTCAATCCTGCACTATCAAAATTTTGTATTTCCAATACCACTTCTCTAGGAGTAGGTTCTTAGTTTTACTTTTACTTTTACTTTCCTATAAACCCATTCGACCGCATTTTAATTTATACTTTACAAATGGGGACAAATCTCTTGCCCTACGCGAATTCTTCAGTTGCCAATCTCGTTCTCAAGTGAGAAAAGCCCGACTTTTAATCAATTATATCAATGAACAAAGCAAAATCTGGTGCAACAAGAAAACTAAATGTAAACGGCAGCATTTCCAAAAGGGTTTCACTTAAATGTTCAAAGACGCATATATCAAAATTCAATATCTAACTGTACAACCAAGTTTATCAAGTGTCTGGCAGGTCATTTATAAGTAAGCCTAAATGTAAGCAGTTAAGATATTAAATTCCCAAAGAAAAAAACCCTAAGAAAAGCAAAACCAATAATTAAACGCTTTCAGTGTGCAAAAACCGAATAACTATTAATGTTAAAAAAAAATAAGAAAACCAGCTAAGCTAAAAACTACATTCTTGGAAAATAGTAACAGGAAAACATTTTGGGGACTGGGGACAGATATTGTGACAAAAACATAAATAAGAACACTTTGATGTATTTTGAAACAGAGAAGGCCAAGGTGCCATTCAATTCAAAGTTAGTTATACAAAAGTTGTAAGTTTTTTTTTTTGTTGATCAATCTACAAAAAAACAAATAGCAAGAGGTTTAAATGGGCATAAAACATAGCTGTATTTTTACTGTCGCTCTATCGACTCAAATATACTGTTTGAACTGAATGTACTCATCTGATTAATATAAATGTATTTACCGCAGATAACCGATATACCGAAAATAAACAATAAGTGCTGTTTCTATATGTTTGTCCCGATCAGCACCGCCCCTCTGCCGTAATTAACCCACCCAACCACCGGCAGGCAGAGTGGTGCAAAGTGGTGCGAAACGGACTCACTTTTGATAGCTGATTAAAAACAGGCGGGAAACCGAACAAAAAATACCACTCAGTGTGTAAAGCCGTGACTCCTTTTGAGCTGAAGATATCTACAATATACCCAAAAAAACACATACATAAAACTAACAAAAAAAAACATTTGTTTAATTGAAAAACAAAACTCAATTGAATGCGGAATAAAGCTAAATAAATGTTGTAATTGCCAGAGCCAAGCATAACAGGAAAAAATAAAATAAAAATTAAAAACAAATGTTGAATGCCATTTTCTATTTTTATAGTGGTGGGTTTTGAACCTGGGGCTTACAGAATAATGTTGGTTATTATTAGATATATTATTGACGATTTTCCAAAGATTTTCTTTAAAAACGACATTTTTTACCAGAGAGAAGTTATCTTTTAAGTTTTCTTCTAGTTTTCCAAGAATATATGTTTCAATGTTCTTTTGAGCAACCTGATATTAAAATAAAACACAGTTCTCTTGTTTCGGTATATTGATTTATTCTTTTTTATTTTTTAACTTATAAAACTGAGGGTGGAAGCTAGGAACTAGAAGAAATGAAAATATGGATTCGGGCTTTTGGATACAGTTCCTGAAGCTATTTGAAAATATTTCAAAGTATCGATATAAATTTCGATTTATTATAATTTTCGATTTTATTATAATAATCTTGACCCGCTTTTGACCCATGAAATAAATAAGTAATTCCAAATTTTCCGTAAATCTGAGTGGATTTTCAGTACCAGATTTTTCATGTTATCATAGCTAATATACCATCATTGACGTGGTCTCAAAAAAGAACCAATCTTTTCCACCCTTTTTCAAATAAAAAACAAAACGAAAATTGAATTTAAATTGTTGCTTGTTGCCGCTTACATAATAAATTAAACAATTATAATAATCAGTACAATAATTCCATTGTTAATGTTGTTTGTTGTTGTTGTTGTTGTTGGTTTCCCTTCCACTCAGCACACAAGTTGATGTTTAATGAAATGTATAAACTAAAACAAATTGCAAACAGCAAATGCAACGACTTCTTGCACTTCGCCTCCTCTCTATATACAAAGCTACAAATCATTTGAATTTCTTATACATTTTCTTGGATTTTCGCCATATGGATTTAGCTATTTTGTTTGGTTTTTAGAGCTGCTGTTAAATAATTTACGTTGTGTAAAGTGTAAACTTTTGATTACAGAGTTACCATTGAAGGAGATACAGACACGGATAAAGAGATATATATATATATATAAGAGAGAATAGATTTGGATACAGGGGGGGAGGTGGCGGGTGTTGGGCGAACAGAATTGCTTTCAACTATTGCACTATTATCGGATGTGTCTATATAGATCCCTTCGCATATATGTCTATGTACAATTGGAGCTGCGCAACGAAACTAATTGTTCAGCAGATGCGTATGCAGATGAATCGCTGAGGCTCAAGCACTTAAACGTATAAGACTTTTGAACACTTTCGTTTGTCATCAATCACATGTCCACGGGTATTCAGCTCTGGTCGTCGATGTTCCCGCCGCACCGGATGATCCTGGTCCTGATCCTGGCCATTCGTCCCTATCCGCATACAAGCTGGCATACGATCCGCTGGCCGAACACGTCCGTCGACCAACCATACGCCGGTTAAACCCGGACGTCCTGGCGCCCAGGCCATCTGCATACGCCGGCATCGACAGCGAGTCGCCGGCTGCCGACGAGACGGGCAGGGAGATGGGCTCCAGTAGCCCATCCCCCTCTGGATCGTCGTCGTTGACAGCTGAACCGGCGGCATCGTCGTCGAAGCCGTACCAGCATCACATGACCATGATTTGCAGCGCTACTCATTGATCTATTGTGCGGTAGATGCGTCTCTGGGGCTCGGGTGTGTAATGGATGCGGGTACGGAAGTGCTGCGGCGATCCTGGCACGCTCTCAGATCCTCGACGCGGCGGCGGTAGTGGGGGCGACGCCGAAACGTATCTGGAAATGAGAGGGAGAGCACAAGGTTAGCATCAGTTAGAGCAGGAAGACATGGGCCCAAAGACCAGAACATCTAAGTAAAAACGATTGCAAAAACATCCAATGTTTTTCTAATTCTTAATTTTTAACGAACAATAACTTCTCCGAATTTTTCTAAAGAAGTCACAAGCCTATTCATTTTAGTTTAACTAATAAAATAACAACAGGAACAACATATTTCCTTTCAGAAAGGAATCATAAAATATATGGATTTACATTTGCAACGTTTTCTTAGTTATCCCTGCTCTGTGGGCCATCCAGAACCCACCTTCGATGCAGAAGCGGTGAGCCGGGCGGCTGGCCACTCAACTCCAGCAGATTCTTGCGCAGCAACAGCGGCGACTGACCGCGATTGTAGCGCGGCGGCGGATCCGGACTCCGGTGCCTTCGATCCAGTCCGGCCAGGATGTGCGGACTGGGCGGTGTGCTGATGCTGCCACCACCGCAGCCCATTGCCGGTCCGCTGCTGGCATAGCGGCGCAGGAAGCTACTGGTGCCTCCACCAGGCAACGGTTCCGTCGTGGGCGAAGTGCTCTGGCTGGTATTGCTACTGCTGCTGGCCGCCGACAAGGTGCGATAGTAGTAGGACTTGCCACCGCTGCCATTGTTCACGATGCTCCTGTACGCAGGCGGTTGCGGATGCCCTGGCTCCTGATCCCGATCCCGATCCATGCTGGCCGCCACCGGGGACGTGGCTGTGGAATTCAATTGGGTTTTAACATAGGTGGCAAACTGTCGCTTCATGGCGCCGGCGAGGGTGTTGAACCAGCCTGATCGGTTGGTTGTTTGGTTTTTCGTTGGATGATTCGAGTGATGATGGGTGGTGGTACGTGATTCGGTGATGCAGTGCAGTGGTGCAGAGTTCGGTTTTTGGTGTGCGGTGTGCGGAAAACGAAGATAGAATGAAACGAAACGGAAATGGAAAATGTATAAATACAAGCGCAACTCAATAGTGTGCAAAGCGAAATCAAAAGAGCGACGATAGACTCAGAAATAAAATAGCCCTTTAAATAGAAAAGTTGTTAGAAGGAGTTTAATAGATACAATCATGTTAAAACATTTGAAAATAAAAATAAACCTCTTTAGAGAAGGTAATTGTTTTAAATATTATGCGAAAGCGAAGTAGAAGTTTTTTAAGCAATGATTAAACGTAGTAGAAAAAGTTAGTAGATAGTAGATTTTTTCTAATGCTTTGGCGACTTTATTTCTGAATATATCCGGAGTAATCGCTGAGTTGGCTGATAGCTCACCTGCATCATGCTGCTCCCGGGAGCATCCATCCAGGCTGCTGCTGCTCGCCCCGCTGCTCGAGCTCTGGCCCAAAAGCTGCCGGCGTGCGTACAGCTTGCTCAGCTTGCTGGCCACCATGGAGCTGCCCCCTCCGTACTCCGACTGCTGCTCCGGGGATCTGGGCAGGAGCGTGGGACTAGTCACCACCGTTGCCTCGGCGGCCACGGGCAGCGGCTGGTACTGCAACTGTTCGCCATTGCCTCCTGCCCCAAAGTGACCAGCTGCTCCTGAACCTGATCCCGTTCCCGATCCCGATCCAATGCCCAATCCCGCTATGGTTCCATTTCCAGAGCCTGGCGATGGCGATAGGCTGGCGGGGGGATTGACGGCGATTTGCGAACACGTCGACTGCGTGGAGGACTGACTAGAGGTGGAGTGCGTCGATGGTGGCGGCGGCACATAGTTGCTGTGAAACGGATTCGTGCTGGTCACTCCGACGGGCGGCTGCTGGCGCTGCTGCTGATACCGCTCCGCCGCCTCCTTCTCTCGCAGCTGGTTCTGCTGGTGGTAGAAGCGCTGCAGCACTGCAAAAAGAAGCAATCATATGTGTTACTAGGGATTAAGCAACAACTATATATAAAATATATATAAAATATAAAATATATATATTTATATTATGCCACATTTTATAAATTCCGATTACGTATTCATAGCTGCCTATTTAATTAGGAACTATATTAAAAACAAGAAAGGAAGCTAGTTTCGGCATATATACCCTGGCAGCCGAAAAACAGCCTTTTCAATTAAGACGAATATAATAAAATTCGAAATTCTGAAATCGGTTCCTTCTTGTTTTCTTATGTATTTTTTAGGTTCTTAAACTAGCCAATTTGTGAAAGCCCTTCTTATTGGAAAGCGGTTTCTTAAGACCTAAGATTCCTGCTCTGAATATATGGTAAATATATGGAAAATCCAGAGAAACAACATTTTACCCCAAGTCCAATTCAGTTGTGAAAAGTAGGCTGTGACTTCACCGTTTCCCCATTTGCCTAGACTGTGAACTTTTCTAGCTCATTCTTACAACAGCATCCGTACAGACTAGTACTATTATATTTTTGTGTGTTTGAGGTACAAAATTTTCAAGAGTATTTTCATAACTTTTATTTCGATAACATTTTTCTACGCAAATATATTTTCGGTTACAAAATTTCTGATTTACAATACCAATGGATCCGCTCACCTGCAATGATGCCGGCGAAACTGTTCGTTATATCGACTTCAGGGCGATTTCTTTTGTATTACCTATGGTCACAGAAGCAGCCCTATATCGTTATTTTAACATCATCCAAAAACAAAACCAGGATATTAATGTGAATGGATGGCGCTTGGCCGAGCACACCCCTTTGAATCCCAACGACCCAGAATATGAGCGAAAGGTGGTATACAGAGATTTCGAGAACTGGAAGATTATTACATATGTTCCCGCCGAGGACGCAAAGAACTTGAAGAGAAATGGACATATCAAGTTTATGTTTTGGACAATCAAAATTGACTTTAGGCCCAGATATGATCCACCTGCATTTTGGTTTGTAGACCGCCGAGTTGGAAGCGTTTGAGGTGATGACATTGCGGAGAGTGGATTATTGGACACTTTTTCAAAAATTTTCAGTAAATCGAATTCGATCTGAACGTCAGCGGTTGGCAAACGCTTAATAAAAGAAAACGACTTATTTCTTATTGAATTTTAGTTTTACATTTTTGGCGCTCAGTTTCGGGCTCTTTGGGACCAGAGTCAAGAAAACTGGAACTGCAGTTAATTGTTACATATAAGTCTTTAATATTTTCGGCTTCAATTAAAGTTTTGCGGTTCAATGAAAAAATAAAATATAAGATGAATAAAAAAATAAAATATAGCTTCCGCTACCCGATTTATCGCCATATTTTTTCTAAGCCTTCAATCTTTGCTTAAAAAATAAATAGGAAGTAATAAATATAAATAAATAATTTACGGAACCATGACTGCCTTTAAAAATATTTATTTTATATATATGGACCTTTCAATATGAACTATTAAATTGGTGAAAAATTGAGATATTTCTAATGTACTCCATAGACAGCGATGTCTCAAGAATTCGCGTGACGATGGATAACCAATATATCATATAAGTGTTTCATCTAAAACTTTAAAAATCACGGTCCAAAGAGGAACCAGTTCTCTTTTGTGTTTTTTGGTTCTTCCACTTACAATTTGTGAAAATCCTTTTCGATGGAGAGCGGGTTTTTAAGACATTTCTGCTCTGAATGTATGGATGCTAAGATCCAGAAAAAATACGTATTACCCCAAGTCTAACTTAGTTTCCAAGTGTCTTACATTTTAAAAAATGTTGTTAAAAGTATGCTGTGACTTCACCGTTTCCCCATTTGCCTAGGCTGTGAACTTTTCAGGCTCATTCTTACAAAAGCATTCGTACAGACTAGTACAATTATACTTTTGTGTGTTAAGTTGACAAATTTTCAAGAGTGTTTTATAACTTTTAATTCGATAACATTTTTCTAAACAAATATATTTTGGTTCATCATTTTCCGATCAACACGTGACAATGGAACCGCTCAACGCTAGTGATTCGGAAGAATCTGTTCGTTATATCGAATTCAAAGCCATCTCATTCGTACTACCAATGATCGATAGAGGAGATCTAAAACGGTCATTCGAAGTTATCCAAAATCAAAACGAGGGTTTAACTGTGAATAAGTGGTGCGTGGCCAAGCATACCGCTTTAAAACCTTACGGTGAAGAATATGTGCAAAAGGTAGTCTACAGGATTATTGAGAACTGTGAAATTGTAGTCTATGTCCCCGCCGAGGACGTAGAGCAATTAATGAGAAATGGCTATAAAATCAGATTCATGTGTTGGAGAGTGCCAGTAGACTTTGAGCCCAAAATTGTGCCATCTGAATTTTGGATCGGAAGCCGACGAGTTGGAAGCGTTTGAGTTGATGCCTTATTTATCACGTTTTTCCTGAATTTTCGATTATAGTAATTCGAACTGTCTTTAACGGAAGCCCCCTGAATCGATCTAAACGTCAGCGGTTGGCAAACGATTAATAAAAATAAAAAACTAATTTCTGATCGATTTTTTACTTAAGCTAAATTAAGACAGCTAAGAGACCGACTGTTTTGAGCAGCTTGCTAAAAATGCTATCGATCCTTATCACTTTAACGAACATTTATTTTTTGACCCATTTTCGCATTTTTTATAAGGGGGTACATCGGTTTTTTTTGGGACTCCGATTTTGGGACAAAAAACTCATTTTTTCGTGGTTTTTTAGTCGTAGCTTAGTCAAATCAAGGCGTACAGCTAAAAGACCGACTGTTTTGAGCAGCTTGCTACAAATGCTATCGATCCCCATCACTTTAAGGAACATTTATTTTTTGACCCATTTTCGCATTTTTTATAAGGGGGTGCATCAGTTATTTTTTGGATTCAGATTTTGTCAAAAATACTAATTTTTTAGTGGTTTTTCAGCCGTAGTTTAGTCAAATCAAGGCGTACAGCTAAAAGACCGACTGTTTTGAGCAGCTTGCTACAAACGCTATCGATCCCCATCACTTTAAGGAACATTTATTTTTTGACCCATTTTCGCATTTTTTATAAGGGGGTGCATCAGTTATTTTTTGGATTCAGATTTTGTCAAAAATACTAATTTTTTAGTGGTTTTTCAGCCGTAGTTTAGTCAAATCAAGGCGTACAGCTAAAAGACCGACTGTTTTGAGCAGCTTGCTAAAAATGCTATCGATCCCCATCACTTTAAGGAACATTTATTTTTTGACCCATTTTCTCGTTTTTTATATCATCAGTTGCATCAGTTATTTTTGGGATTTAGATTTTGGTCAAAAATACTCATTTTTTGTGGTTTTTCAGCCGTAGTTTAGCCAAATCAAGGCGTACAGCTAAAAGACCGACTGTTTTGAACAGCTTGCTACAAATGCTATCGATCCTCATCACTTCCAGGGAAATTTATTTTTTGACCCATTTTCGCATTTTTTATAAGGGGGTGCATCAGTTATTTTTGTGATTCAGATTTTGGTCAAAAATGGTGGTTTTTCAGCCATAGTTTATCCAAATCAAGGCGTTCAGCTAAAAGACCGACTGTTTTGAGCAGCTTGCTAAAAATGCTATCGATCCCCATCACTTTAAAGAACATTTATTTTTTGACCCATTTTTTCATTTTTTATAAGGGGGTGCATCAGTTATTTTTGTGATTCAGATTTTGGTCAAAAATACTCATTTTTTGGTGGTTTTTCAGCCGTAGTTTAGCGAAATCAAGGCGTACAGGTAAAAGACCGACTGTTTTGAGCAGCTTGCTAAAAATGCTATCGATCCCCATCACTTTAAGGAACATTTATTTTTTGACCCATTTTCTCGTTTTTTATATCATCAGTTGCATCAGTTATTTTTGGGATTTAGATTTTGGTCAAAAATACTCATTTTTTGTGGTTTTTCAGCCGTAGTTTAGCCAAATCAAGGCGTACAGCTAAAAGACCGACTGTTTTGAACAGCTTGCTACAAATGCTATCGATCCTCATCACTTCCAGGGAAATTTATTTTTTGACCCATTTTCGCATTTTTTATAAGGGGGTGCATCAGTTATTTTTGTGATTCAGATTTTGGTCAAAAATACTCATTTTTTTGTGGTTTTTCAGCCGTAGTTTAGCCAAATCAAGGCGTACAGCTAAAAGACCTACTGTTCTGAACAGCTTGCTAAAAATGCTATCGATCCCCATCACTTTAAGGAACATTTATTTTTTGACCCATTTTCTCACTTTTTATAAGGGGGTACATCAGTTATTTTTGTGATTCAGATTTTGGTCAAAAATACTTATTTTTTTGTGGTTTTTCAGCCGTAGTTTAGCCAAATCAAGGCGTACAGCTAAAAGACCGACTGTTTTGAGCAGCTTGCTACAAACGCTATCGATCCCCATTACTTTAAAGAACATTTATTTTTTGAACCATTTTCGCATTTTTTATAAGGGGGTACAACGGTTATTTTTGGGATTCAGGTTTTGTTCAAAAATACTAAATTTTTCCTGGTTTTCCATTTAAAAAGTAAGTCGAACATATAATAAAATAAAATATAACAGAATCCGATTTTAAATTATAAAATTCGGAAATCTTTAAATTCTATACCCCAGAGTAGAAGATAATATGATCAAAAACAACTTATCTTTAGTTTGTTTCATATTATTTTCCCATCAATTTTTTGATCGTGTGATATCAGACGACTGATCAAAAAAATTTTAAGTCGAAAGAGAAAATATAATTCATGAATATAAAAACCATAGTTGAAACCATTTTTCAATGATTTTAAAATGGTTTCTGTTAAAAGGTTCTATTAAAAATGTATTAAAAAAATGTCCCCAAAAATTTGGATTGCTCCAAATGATTTTTTAGATCTGCATATCGATAAATTATTGGAAGAGTCATATATTTTTAAATAAATGGCATATCGAGATAAATGCTTTTAAAGTTTTATATTGCTGTATGTTTGCAGCAAATCGTTCAAACTTTTACATTTCTAACGCTCTGTGCTTTAAAGATAGGATGATGAAATTTGGACAATATAGATTATTAGATCATTAATATTTTTTTACTCAAGCAAGTACTTTCTACTAAATGAACGACATGGGAATACAATATTGATATTGTAAGACTCAAACTTGGGAAATATTGTGTATATATTATAATACTTTTAGAGATTTACCTATGGGGCTCTGATTGCCCGGCTGCAAACGCTGTGGTTGCTGCTGCAGCTGTTGCTGTTGCAGTTGCTGCTGCTGCAGTTGTTGCTGCTGTTGCTGACTGGCGAGTTGCAGGGTCGGCGATTCAGTGAGGAACTGCTTGCGCGGCAGCGAGGGCGAGGGGGAGGAGAGGCCCAGGTTCAAGGTCGTTGGCGCATTACTACTACTATCACAGCTGTCGTAGGCTTGGGAATTTTCCGCTGGCAGGCGCCAAGTGGGCGTGGCTGTTGGCGTTGTCGTGGGCGCTGCAGCTGCAACATTTGGCGGTGTTTTTGCAGTCGCCGTTGCAGCATCCGTGTATAATGTTTGGTTGTTGTGCGGCAGTGGTATTGTTAATGCAGTCGCTGCTGAATTATGTTTCTTTTGGCTGAAGGGCGATGTGGTCAGATTGCGTAGAATCGATTGGCCTGCAATAAGAGAGGTATATTACTAAATAGAATTTTGAATAATCTTAAACTAACAAGTTATAGGGAATTTATGTTAGGCTAAGCCTTATTCGTGGTTGATTTGCTGTTATAATATTACAATACAAAGTATTTTCTTTGAATAAAAGCATCAAGACAATGAGGAATCATAGAAAAATATAAGGTACGTTGCAATAAAAGAGGTCGATTAGTAAGGTGAGTCTTGAATAATCTTAAAATAACAAGTTATAGGGAATTTATGTTAGTTTAAGCATTATTTGTTGGTGATTTGCGGTTATTAGATTACAATACAATGTATTTTCTTTGAATAAAAACAGGAAACTAATGAGGTATCATGAGAAATACATGTACAAATAGTGCATGATCTCTAGTTTATCAAACCCACCGATGCTACTGAACATGGACTCCTTTTTGGGACTCTCATCGTTGCATTTGAAGTGCGAATGATGTGATCCGTTGCTCAGTTTGCGCTGCATGAACGGCGATTTGCGATAAAGTCGGTTAAGATCACCCACGCCTCCGCTGGGCGGTGATAGAGGACTGGCGCTGCTGCTGCTGCCGCTTCCATTTCCGCTCCCGCTGCCATTTCCTCTTCCGTTCCCGCTGCCACTGCCACTTCCGCTTCCGCCGAAACAGTTTGTCGTTGCCGTTGGTGTTGTGGTTGTTGTTGGTGTTGTTGTTTGAGGTAGTTGTGTGGCTGATTGCATGAAATACTGCGACTGTTGCTGCTGGTAACTCGGTATCTGAGTGGGTTTTATTGTCTTTTGCGGATTCGTGGGACTCTGCGCCGCATACGGCGCCGCCCTACCATATTTTATAGCTCCACCTGCGGATCCTGATTCTGCTAGAGATCCTGAACCAGAACCGCCTCCACCGCCAGTCGCTGTTGCCCTGCAAATTAATGATGGAAACGTTTTAGATATGTGATTTCTGGTTGTCTATATGACCAATAATGAGAGCACACTCAAATGTACGCCAGTGGCAGAAAGTAGGGTTGTGTGTGGGGATAAAAAGGGGTAATAAAAGGGGTATATTTGGGATATTGGGGGAGTGACAGGAGTATCCGGTAACTGGAGGGTTTATAGGGTACATGTACATAGATTGACGGCGCAATGGCAACATATCTAACACATTTAGATGAGCTGTGATCGCATTTTGAATGTGTAATGTGTACTGAGTGTGTGTTTTTTGTATTTACAAAATGATGAATGTGTTTTTGGTGTGTGTTGTGTGTGTCTTGTGTGTAAGCGACAGGTGGAAAACACAGTTAAAGGTCACAGAAGGAGCGAAAGCGAAAGATGGCTGCAGAGAAGTAAGGGTTGGCTAACCTAAAACCGTTTCCTAAAATCAAAATTATATAAAATATGAGAAAACGTCCACAATAAAAAGGCCTCTATCAATACTTAATAAAAAACTTGTATCTTAATAAAAAAAAAACCTAACTAACGAACAATTTCGTAGAGAAAATTAATGATGACCCATTTAAAGTATAAAACATTTAAGTTTTTCAATAGGACTCTAAACTATTTTTCGTATATTCTTTATCAAAATAAAATATATAAATTAACAAATACGAATTCTAAAAATACAGTCCTGTCTTTTACAATTTTTTTACAAAAGCTAGCTAATTTTTTATTAAGGGTAACTATAATCGAGCGGGAAACACACAAATGAGTTATATAAATGAGAAATGACAACCAAATGAAGTGAACTTAAAAATCGATAAAGCATAATAAATTATCAGTGTCAAATTACCTTTTCTCGAGTATGAGCATTTCTAGATGGGTAAATAAACAAAGCATAAATTAAATAAATACAAGAACCAATGCCAAAGCCAAGCTTAAAGACGAGAACATGCATAAAAACTAAACCGAAACCAAGGAATCAGCAAAAGTCAATGGCTAAAAACATTAAACTAAAGTTAGCAGAGCATGTGGCGTGTTTACAACGATTGATTACGGGTTACACTTAACGTATAAAAACATAATTAGAAGGCTAATAATAAGAATAATAAACTCGTCGTACTTACTGAATTTTACTTTTATTTGGGAGGAGTTTTTATATAGTATTTTTGAGTAGTTATGTTTGGTTGGCATTATCATTATATATAGGTAAATATATATTTAGGTTTATATATCTGTATATAGAGTTGATGGTTGCAAGTTTTACTTGAATGCTTTTGTTTTGTTTTTAAGTTTATGTCGATAGGTTTTAATGTTTGGTTTTCGTTTATAGTTTGTCTTCTTCTTTTTCGTTTGCTTTTGCTTTTGTTAGATTATGTTTTTTATTGGTTTTCTTTCATTGTTTGTCATTATTGTTTAAGAAATGGTATTAGGAATTAGGTAACCTACAAAAAATGGTAATAAAAAAGATGAAAAAGGAAAATAAAAACATCGCACACACACACTCAAATTAAAAATGTCAATTGAACGCAAAAAAGGAGAAAAAAATATATAAGATGTTTATAATTATTTCATAATACATTTTTGCTTTCTCCTTATTATACTAAGTAAGGGATCTAAGTGGGTACAGGGCTGCTAGAAGATAGACAGATAGTTGCGTGGATAGCAGACTACTAAAGGGCCAAGGTCAACATGCATTTTCCAAAGAATTCGCGTTTACAGAAGTATTCAAAGTTATTTATATTTGCAAGAAATTTTGGATTCCAGAAATTTTAAAATTTTGTTTCTAATATATAATTCTACAAGCTTTATTTTAATCAATTCTTTTAAAAATGCATAGAACATTTATTACAAAACACTTTGGAAAGAGCATGTCTTCTAGGACATCAAATCAGAATCCAATTGCTAGCTATTATCCAAAAATATTACTTTTTTAATTTGTTCATTTGCTTTTTTGATGTGTATTAAATAAAACAAAAAAGCGAAACATGCCAAAGGAAAGGATAGAAAAAGGAAGCTAAGTGTAAATTGATTAGGTTAATTAGCCTTGCCAAAGAAAATTAAAAATAGGCGTAAATCAAAAGTCAAATCAAATACGAAATGGAAAATAAAAATGGAAACAAGCAGTTTAAATTAGTTGGCTGTCGAAAACATGTATTTGGGTAAACCCATCCTACGGTTAGGTGTTCAAAACTTGGAGCTTTCCAACAATTTTTATTCCTCTCCTACCTGTTGAACTCGAGAAGCGCATTAAGCAGAGAACAGAGAACGGAAAATGGAAAACGGAAACGGAAAGATGGGGGAAAATACAAAGCGCTCCGCACTGTCATCAGACACACCCACTATTCACACACATCCACAACAGGCACAACACATCGCCATCAGCCGGGAATAGCGGACGGGTCGTGGGAATAATGCTGGAGGATCTGGCGCAGATCACCGGATGGGCTCACCTCTGGAGCGTGGAATCGCCGTTGGCACGCAGACGGTTGTCCTTGATGCTCTGAAACCAATTGGGCACATCTACTTTGGCTATTTCGTAGGTCCGAATGAAGGGCTGGGCCAGAAGCTCCGGATACTTGGGTCGGTCCTGATGGTTCTTTGTGAGGCTGCAAGCGAAAAAGATTCCTTGTTAAATGGTTTCTTATGCAAATGTGGAAGGTAGCCCAGAAATATCACCCACCACTTGATGACGAAGTCGCGGAACTGCTGGGTAAAGTTGAAACCCTCGCCGTAGGGCAAACACGGCGGCTCCGAGTCCAGCACCTTGGTGAGCACCTCGAAGTCCGTGTTGCATCCTTCGTACGGGGATCGCGCGGTGGCCAGCTCCACCAGCGTTATGCCCAGTGACCACACATCGGCGCGAATGTCGTACTTTGGTTTCTTGGGGTCGATGCGCTCCGGCTGTAAAACACAATAGTATATTGGTTATTTTTACAATAATATGATTTAAATATTTTACAACTCGTTTAGGAAATAAAACTAAAATGTTATCATATTATAAAATACAATCACTACTTCATAAGTAGTACTTATTGATTGAATGCTGAGTTTACGCTTGAATTATCTCGTATATTTTGCTTGCTTGGCAAACTGTTCGCCATCACAATACCTGCCTAGTTTATTCCGAATCACGTTCATTATTTTAAAAAACAACATAAGTCATTACATTTATCAATTAATCTACACGGGCATATACATTTTTTCTAAGAAATGTAATGAGTTGTAAGCTTTGCAGTTAAAAACAAATGAGTTGAAGGTTTGTTGATATGGAAAACAAAACTCTGATCTATAAATATTTATACCAAATCTTTACAAAGTTGTATTTAATGATAGTATTTTTAAAAAAAACAACTTTTTAGACCCTGCTTTAACCCTGATCCTACAGATGAACCTACCGCCATATAAGCTGCACAGCCGGCGGATCGTGTGTTGGCCTTGGAGTCCACCAGGCGACCGCTGATCCCGAAATCACAGAGCTTTATGTTGCCACGCTCGTCGATCAGAATGTTCGATGGCTTCACATCGCGATGGATGACCCCGTGCTTGTCCTTCAAATAGGACAATGCGTTGACCGTCTGGGAAATGAAAGTGAAAAGGGATTTAGTAGGGTCTCTGAAGGTATTATTCCTTATGACAAGACTTACCGCCACTGTGACCTTGCCAAGGATCTGTTCCGGCACCGGCTTCTTGGAGAGCTTCAGCAGCTTGTCGAAGCACATGGACATCAGCTCCATGCAGATCCACACATCCGGATCGCGAACGAAACAGCCCAGGCACTTCACAATGTACTTGCAGTCGTGCGACTTGAGCACCACATCCAGATCCATCAGGATGCGCTTGTTCTCCTCGGCGTTGCCAGTGCGTCGCATCTGCTTTACGGCGATGACCATGTTGCTGGACAGGTGCATCATCTTCACCACGTTGCCGCTGGTCCCGTTGCCCAGATCGCCCAGGTGCTTGAGGTCATTGATGTCCGTCGGATATTGCCGCCCGTTGATGTTCAGCTTGCCGGTCTGCTCCATGATGATCTTCAGCTTTTTGTCCGTTTCCGAGACCGGAGGATGAGGCGGCGTGGGCAGCGGAAGTATCACCGGTCGCGTCCGGTTGAATCCACCACCGGGACCGCTTGAGACTGTAACGGAAATGGAAAACATCAGGTTATTAGTATCGTTAGTATGAAAGTATAGTATATTTTAGTATATTATTTAACAATCAATTTGCCCAGGTTAATATCATTTTTCATAATTTTATATCATTTTGAACAACTTTGAATCGATATTACAGTGCAATAACTGGTATTTCCTATAAGTCGAACTAGTTCTAATATTATATTTCAGTAATATATAGCTAACATTTTTTTTATATAGCCCAAAGTTAATAATATGAGAAATAATGGCATACTTAGACCATGTTACATTTAATATGACCCAAGTTACATTAGAACTGTATTCACTAATTGTTTCCTTAAGGAACTAAATCATGTTTTTATTAAATTTGACTTAATTAGTCAAATAATGTGATGAAAATTGGATCAATAAGTATTATTATTAATTTCAAATTTAGTTTTCATTTTAAATGGATATTATAGCAAGAAAAAATGGGGTCAGTATTCCTGATATCACAAATAAGTGTACTTTTTATAAATTTAGCATACTTTTAAGGACCCATTTATTTTAATCTTACTTGTGAATAATTAACAAAAAACGGATTTACCATTCAAATGATCAAAATATTGTAATTATATCAATTGTAATTGATTTACAATGAGAATGCAATTAAATAACGATTTTAGCCCACTGTGCCATTGTACGTGCATATGTGTGTGTGTGTGTGTGCGTGAAGAGGAAGAGCGAATGAGAGCGAATTTGTTTTTGTTGGCGAAGTTTTTTCCCTGGCAGCAATTCAAATCAACAATTAGCAAATACAACAACAGCAAGTCATAAAAAATAACGCTATTTGTAAACATGCGAAAGAGGAGACACGGCGGAATGGCCGATGAATGTGGGTAGGGGGAGGGTGCAGAGACGGAGGCAGAGGCGGAGGAGAGGAAATGTGAGACCCAAAAAATGCTAACAAAAACAATAACGGGCATATCAAGACATTACTCCGGAAATGCCAAAAAGTAACCAATAAGAGAGGAGGAGAGCGGAAAAAGAGAGTCGCACATACGCAGAAAGTAAATAAATAAATAAAAAACACTTGATGAAAATCCAATAAGAAAAATTTGCAAAACGAGACATAAATGTATGGATAAAAGGAGGGGTGAAGGGAAAGGGCGGTGGTGGGTGGACCACATACACTTGTGGTCAAAATATTAGCAGTATTTACACATGTCCTTAACATTTCGAATGATATTTTGTAAACATTTTTATTTTAAACCCTTTTATTACAAACATCTTGAAAGTTTATTGTAAAAAAATAGTTTTTGTTTGCAGTTTCTGGTATTTTTAATAACAAAAATGTTTCTTAAAAAACATAAAACTAAATATTAACCAAATTTTAAAAATCATATGTAAATTTCTATATATTTTAACATAGATTTAAATGATTTAATTATTTTTCAATTTTTTGTGGTTTTTGTTTTGTATGAGAAGTTAAAATGGAAGAATATTTCAAGTTGACTTCATTATTATTAAAAAATTTAGAAAATGAAAATATTTATTATTCTTTATGTGTCGTATTATAAAACTGTAGAATCTGTAATCTTCTAAAAATGGGAAGTACAATTGACTTTGTATATTTGATCCGAGTATTTACATACATTAAAAGTTTTAAAAGGTTTTAAGAATTAAACTATAATCGTATAATATATAAAAACCAAATTGGTTTATGGCTTATTTTATTCAAGGACCCATTTAAATATTGGAACTACCAATTAAAATAATGAGCCTGATAATACCTTAATATTTTTATATATTTTTCTTATTAACGAAATTGTTAATCTCTTCGAAAAATGATTACAATGTTTGAATTTCGATGTGCCATTTTGGCACTTTTTAAATTCAAGGAAACTATAACCACTAATCTAATCGACAAGAGATGTATTCTATTATTCAAAAACCCATTAAACGTTTTCTAGAGTTCACGGAAAGCATTGTATTGTATATACCAGGAATGGTTAATCTAATCGAGTCGGAAATTGTAGCGGTGCACAGTTGTTAATTCCACTGTAGGTTTTTTGGGCCCGACAAAAGGCCGAAAACAAGTTGGGTTCGCTTTTGGTTTTCGCACTTGGCCCGGCCCGCCTGCCTTTCCAGTCTTATCTATGCAATCGGACGCAGAACGCTGAAAAAGTGGAAAAGGTGGAAAAGGTGGAAAAGGTGGAAAAGGTGGAAAAGTGGGGGAGATGGGGAGATGGGCCGTGCCAAGGGGCTTGAAATGGGGATTATGAGCAGCTGTTATGCAGTCGGGAATCGATAGCGGTTGCCCTTTGTTGGCGGAATTCAAATACTCAATGGCGAAGGCAAAAGCCAAGAAACGAGCACTTTTCTTATCACAATTCAAACACACACCACACACACACACACACACTCGCAGCTTATTGGGCAATGACAATTTATTAACAAAATATTTACACAAAAGCGGACAAAAGATGGTTTTGTGGCTTGCGGTTGGCGCTACGGCGTATATATAGATTTTTGGTGACCATTTTTGGGGATCACGACTTTTCTCGGCCCTCTTTTATTACCACTAAACGCAATGCCAACAGTTGCGGTCAAGATATTAGTACTAAATCTGCATGTATCAAGGGGGGCTCAATAAAGATTTCACCTGTCCAAAGTTGGAAGGAAAGTTTTTGATCTTTCTAGGAAATATTATCGAAATTGGGAAAATGATTAGGGTACGTATCATTGCTAAATTTATTTCACTCTAAGAATTTACTGAATTTGAAGAACTCGTATTTGTGCAAATATCGTAACATTAGGATAAATAATTTGCTTACAAGCAAAAAGCTTTCTTTATTTACAAAAATTAATTACTACTTAATAGATTTTTGGCGCGAAAACTTAACATTTGGACCAATATTTTGTTCAAATTATTATTTATCTGCTTACAAATAACTATGATATAAAAATCTAAAAGGGTATTATAATGTGTAAATATCAAAAATTTATTTGGCAATAAATTTTTTCTAAATGATATTTCAAAGGAGAAATTAAAAATAACTTTGGAAATTTGGTATGAATTTGATATCAAGAATTCTTTTGAGTCTAGCTGTATAATTAACATACGATTTGAAAGAACTTTTTGAGAAAACCTCTTTAAAAATGAATTTATATTTATTTTGTGCTAGAGTTAATTTAGATAGGATTTGGATTTCATAAGTAAGCCTTTTATTTTACTTCCCTAAAATTTGGGTTGTGTAAATATATAGGAATAAATATTTTAGATAACCCTTTTCGGTATTCCCCTTAAATTTGGGATATGATAGTATAAAGGATTTTTTGGTTCCCAAAGTTTATTTTAGATATGATCTGAAAGAAGGTCCTATAAGTAACCCATTGAAGTTATTCTCCTAAAATTTGGGATGTGTCAATATCAAAGAGGTGTTATAGATAACGCATTGAAGTTATTCCCCTGAAATTTGGGATGTGTAAATTTTAAGGACTTATTTGTGCCTAGAGTTATCCCATGTTTTATAGACAACCCTTTCTAAGTATTCTTACGGTTTTAAAGGACTTGTAGATAGTTCTTATAGATATACTCCAGAAATCTAGCCAGTTCTATTCTAGTAAGGATCTTGTATGCAGACTTACGCATGGGCAGTGAGGGCGTGGCTCGCGGCACTCTGGTTGTGGGCGGGGTGTACGTTCCGCCGAAGGCGCCCGTCGACGAAACTCCGGATGCGGATGAGGCAGATGCGGATGCAGAGGCGGATGCGAATGCGGATGCGGATGAGGACGAGGCGGTGGCGCTGGGCGTCGCATGAGGAACTGGAGGTGCTGGCCGCTGGGCTATGCTAATCCCGGCACCGGAACCGGAACCCAGGCCCAAGGGCGGTGCATGGGCGGCGGATGCGGATGTGGATGTGGCCAGGGGCGGAACGCGGGCAGACGAAACGGAAACGGAACCGGAAACGCCAGAGCCGCGCGCACCGGAAAGGACGATCTTGCCGTGGGACTCATTCTGCTCCTGCAGCTTGGCCTCCAAGGATTGCAGGCGACTGCCGATCGTCTCGAACTCAATGGTGGACATATTCCTGGATTTATCCTTGGATTTCCCAATTTTCGCTTGTTATTTATTTGTATTATTGGTTTTGGTATTTTTGTGTGTTTTTCTTCTTTGCTTTTTTTGGCCAGCACTTCTTCGATTTTTCTCTCTTTCGACCTCTCTCTCTCTCTCTCACACACACACTCGCTCGCTGGCGGGGGAGGGTGCGTGTGTGTGAATTGTTTTGTTGTGCGCGGTTTTTGTTGTTGTTTGGCGGCACACACGCACACACACTCGCTGCTGAACTTTCACACTTGCACAAATAACGGATCGCTGGACTTTTATTGTTTTTATTTCTTTCGTTTGGCGGCCACAAAAACAAAATCGAAAAAAGGAAAACACAGTCACTGTGCGTTAGAGAGAGACACCCTCAAACACACACACACACGCGCAGCGCCCCCTCTCGCTCGCTCTCTCTCTTTCTTTTTCAGCAGCAAACGGCAACAACAACTTGCGATTTTTTTCCTCCTTTGGAGGATATTTGCACGGCTGTTTTTCTTTCGGGGGCGTGTTTCTTCGGCCTCTGGCGATCGTTTCGTTTTGCGGCCGCGGGCGGCGGTAGCACTGGCACAATTCTAACACTCGGTTTTGTACGATTTTGCTGCCAAATCGCGTGTACAAATCCAAACAGTGTGACCGCAGCGCCAACTGTGCGACCTGCTCTTGTAAATGCACTAGAAAATGCCAGGGAATGTGGTGAAAATACTGAGAAAATACCACAACTAGAGATGGACTAGGGTTCTAGCCAGGAATAAAACCACAACATATAGGTACACAAAATTTATGGAAATTGGAAAACATGTCCAAGTATGTTTTCCCAATTGTAAGCTCCCAAGTAAACTCTTAGTTGATAAATAAATGAAGACAATAAACAAATGTTTCCAACTATTGTAATGTATGTTTCTTAAAAAACTATTTAACAAGGAAAAAAGAGTTGTACCCAGACAAGTAGATAATAAACGTTTTTTAGTTCCTCTGTACAACAATAAATTATTTCTGACTTTAAATTATTTCGAATATAAGGTAGGCTATGCATCAAGGTATATAAAATGAATTTTTATTATTTTAAATTGAATGATAACATGATATTTTCCAAATTGTTTTGTTCTAGATGTTATGAACGCGGGCTTTAGCAAAGAGGTAATGCCTCACCTAGATACAAAAAAGTCGTAATTTTGCCATTACCACAAATATTTGTAAAAATGTAAACAAGGTTGTGTACTTACTTCTATAATGCTACCTATTGGGACCCCATTTAAAAATAAAACAACAGTTTTTACAAAACTAAAACACATTAAATAGTGATATCTTAAAAAAGATAGAATTTTAAAGAAAGCTTAATTAAAAAACGAATTAAAATATTGGCAGCAAAGCTTCCGATAGTTGAAAACTATCGATATCATAGGTACCGGCTCGAAGTACCCATCGGTTTTAATGATTTTGCTCTCGAATTGATTAATAAAATCAATTAAAAACCTCTTAAAAATATATATAAATCCTTTCTAATTAGTTGTTAAAATATAAACGCTCCTCGATTTCTTGCTAACGCCATACTATCGCCGCTTTCGATGGCAAAACTATCGATAGGGCCATCGACGGTGGTCCAGCGCTAGTGGAAAAGCGAGAAAAACGAGAAGCGAAAAAGGCGATCGGCAAACAGTGCGAAAAGTGCGGACAGGAAAGCAAAGGCGAAAGCAAAAGGTTGGCTGGCAAATACCGGGCCACAGCCGCAGCCAGACGATCCGATCCACAACCACATCCGAACCCGATTCCAGATCCTGCACCGACCCGACCAAATGCGATAAAAATAGCCGCATCCCAACCGTCCGATCCGCCAGATCTTGCAGAACTTAGCCTTAATCGAAGAGTCCGCGAGGAGAACGCCGGAGAAACGTCGAGGAGGAGGACCCCCATATATATGGTATAGGATATAGGATATATTGCCAAGATGTCCCGACGTCCGCGACTGTCCTTCAACATTCTCAAGGAGCCGGAGCCAGCCATGTAAGTTCATGGGCAAACTGCCCGCCAGAATGACGTAGTACTTAGGCACTTACCTACCCTAATCCTTTCCAGAGTGCCACCACGCAATTTGGATTCGCGGGCCACCATCCAAATTGGCGATCAGACCTTCGACATCGATGCGGACAGCCTGGAGAAGATCTGCGATCTGGGCCGAGGGGCCTATGGCATTGTGGAGAAGATGCGCCACCGGCAAACCGATACGGTCCTCGCCGTTAAACGCATACCCATGACCGTTAATATTCGCGAACAGCACCGCCTTGTCATGGATCTGGACATATCGATGAGGTCCAGCGATTGCCCCTACACGGTCCACTTCTATGGGGCGATGTATCGCGAGGGCGACGTCTGGATCTGCATGGAGGTGATGAGCACCAGTCTGGACAAGTTCTATCCGAAGGTCTTCCGCCACGATCTGCGCATGGAGGAGAGCGTGCTGGGCAAGGTCAGCTGGGGAGGATGGGGGCGGGGCTAATCTTATCTGGGAATCGCCACTACTATACTACTGTTACGTTCATTTCACAGATTGCTATGAGCGTGGTCAGTGCGCTGCACTACCTGCACGCCCAGCTGAAAGTCATCCATCGGGACGTCAAGCCCTCGAACATACTGATCAATCGGGCCGGCCAGGTCAAGATCTGTGACTTTGGCATCTCAGGTGGGCATTGCAATTTCTTCTTTTTATTCTACATTCCCCTAATCTTGACCCCACTTGCAGGCTACCTCGTGGACTCCATTGCCAAAACCATCGATGCCGGCTGCAAGCCGTACATGGCCCCGGAACGCATCGATCCCCAGGGCAATCCGGCGCAGTACGACATCCGGTCGGATGTTTGGTCGCTGGGCATCAGCATGATCGAAATGGCCACCGGCCGCTACCCCTACGACAATTGGCGGACGCCCTTCGAGCAGCTGCGCCAGGTGAGTGCCGGACATCGGGGGATGTACACCTCTATAAGGCATTTTAGGAAGTCAAAAATCCTTCCTTCCATTGCATCTGCCCTAGTTAATGGCATATACTGCTGATAAACAAAGTAGAATTAGTCATTTTGTGGTTGAAAACCCCAGGTTTTGCAAAGGCAAATAATGAGTCCTAATGCTATCGCATATTTCACTATAGATTTTACCACACATGAATTGTAAATCTCTAATCTGCTTCGGGAAATTCCGAACAAATTGAAGTTTTAGAAACAATCCCGATAAAACAAAGATGAACTTGGGTCTTAAAAGAAGTTCCTCCATTAAAGTCCTTAATGGGAATCCTCCGAAAAACCCCTAACTTTGTAAGGCTATATAGGAAATAATACTTTTGAATCCATTTATAGATGAAGTATACATTTTGTTATTGTACTTACAAATCGCCCTTTTTGGCTATTTCTTTAAAAATTATGCTAGAAAGCCACTACCATTACATAACTTAATTCGCTGAGCCACAAGTTACTTATTAGCAAGCTTAATTAAAAGTATAACCAATTTTTGTTTCAAATATTATACAATCCTGTGATCACTAGCCAAAATTATTGTATTTATAAGAAAAGGAAACGATTGGTACCATTTATTCCATTAAAATTGGTAAATACAATCTAAATATTAAATGATCATTGAGGTGGCAAGAATATAAAGACTTTTTAAAGATACTAAGTTAAACCTGTGTCTGGGAATTGAAATATAATCTAGGTCTTTGCTTTTGATTACATTTTAGGCCTTTTTCTTTTAAGATCTTTCAGGTGGTATAGTAAATAAACAAGGAAGTATACCCATTTCCCAAAATATTAAGTTTCCTATCTCTTAAAATTGAAATCTAGCCTAGATCTTCGCTTTTTTTTAAATATCTTAGGTGGTGTGATAATTATACAAGGAAATCAACCATTTTACGCTTTTTCTTTAAATATTTCTTTGGTGATATAATAACTAAGCAAGAAAGTATAAACTTTTTCACGGCCGAAAGTCTCAGCAGCTATGGCCGATTCCTCCCTGTACCTTAAGTTTTAAACTTTTGGCAACAGAGTACAATAAATAAACTTTTTCAAATATACTAAGTTTGACCTGACCCTGGAAACTAAAATATAACCTAGATCTTCACTCTTGAGTGCATTTAAAGTAATTTTGCGCTTGATCATTTTCCAGGTGGTTGAGGACGATCCGCCGCGTCTGCCGGCGGGAACCTTCTCGCCGGAGTTCGAGGACTTCATCGCCGTCAGCCTGCAGAAGGAGTACATGGCGCGGCCGAACTACGAGCAGCTGCTCAAGCACAGCTTCATCGTGGACCACCTGCAGCGCAACACGGACATCTCGGAGTTCGTGGCCAGGATACTGGACCTGCCCGACAACCAGCCGGCGCAGTAGGTTAATGGCCGGGTAGCTGGTTAATGGTTAACCCATGGCGCCCCCTTAACCCCTTGAGCCGTGCCCGTGCCCGTGTAAATTGCCGCCGTCTTCTTCTAGCATGCATTTCGTACATGTTGAGTGTGTGTCCCCCCGTCTGCGTGCCAGCAAAACCAACCAATATATATGAAGGAAATCCAAGGAAAACCAACAGCAATCAGCTAATCTAAAGATTCAAAAAATGGAAACTGCATAATTATTAATTTAAGTGAGAAGCAAACAGCAACATAACCGTTACTAGCAATCCTGCAACATGCAACATGCAACATGGAAACTTCGCCTTGCAACGCTCAAAAATGGATAACCGAACCGTGCCTCCCAGCTGGCGATGCTGCTGTCTTAAAAAGTAATACCATTTTAATATATATTTTTAAACAAATAATAGCTTAGTCAACGAAAAACAAGAACAGAAGCAAGCAAACAATGAATGTAAAAACGTACTAAACTTTAATGATAAATTGTAAACTTTTTGAACACCAAAATAGCCGAACAGAAAGTGTAATGGTAATTATAATTGTTTAACAAATATATATTACGTGAAATAGCTAACTATTGTTGAAATTTGAATGGCTAATAACTGTGAGTTATGATTGCGATTGGGAATTGCTTTTAAATCTATTAAATCGCTTAACTATTATAAAAAACACATTGCTTTTTCGAAAAAAGGGAAAAACAATATTTTATTAGCGGTGAATTTCAATATTTAAATTTAAATATATTTGTTCGATATCAAAAATTGAGAATGCAACGATGCACTGACTGCAATCCATCCCTTGCAAGTGATATATCGTTATGAATATATATTATATCGATACTTTTTCAGCTGTTGCGTGCATTTTTTTGACGTGCATCGACGTGGACAAAGGGGGGATAAACCCCCATACATTGTTTTTATTTATTAGCTTACATTGCACTTTTAAAAAAAAAACAGAAAGGCTTGTAATCGTAACTATTTTAGGAACAGCATTCGGAAATTAAAGATATGGTGGTGATTTTTTTATTTGCACAAGAAATGGCTAGCTAATCTAAAAAATAAAACTTTAGTGCCTGCAATAAAAAATTTAAATAGAAATTCTGAGGAATGTATACACAAACTCGTTATAAACCGGATAAAGACATTTTATAATAATCAAAATTGATGGTTTACTCCAGTAAATATGTTTTTGGATCTCAGTTCCTGGGTGTAACGACCCCTTGAAAAGCAATTACACATACCCCTCTGTTCTCGCATTGCTGTTGTTTTGTGATAAGGTTTGTTTGAAGGCACTTACTCCGATACTTCTGGGACCCATCCCTAACGGCAGGTCATAAAACCCTGGTAATCTTCCCGACTGGGCGAACCATCCAATCCCACGATTAGATTGCTGGAGAAATGGGCAGTGCACGGAACATATTGTTGCTCTCGTCGTCGCGTTTGCACGGCCATGGGTATTTGGAGCACGCCCGTGTCCAACTGGAGGATCTCTTCAAGAGGTAAGTGTTTGGAATATAAAGTATATTGAGTGCAAAAAGTAACATTTTAGTTCATATTTTTAAAACAATTTTAAGTCAAATTATCTTAAATGAAAGAAGTACTTTTTTAGGTACATATGTGTGTATGTATAACTAATTTGTGATTTAATGGTGACCTTGTCTTAGAGATGCATTATAAAATAATAAAAAAAACGATGTATCTTTTATTTATTTGATTGATTGACAAAACATCAATAATATTATGACCGATAAAAAATATTTTTTATTTTAGGAAAATTATTAACCTACGAAAGCAGATACATTTTATCAAGGTTAACTTTTTTTCTAATGGATGAAAGATTCAAATGCAAAAATTTATAAATATATTTTACATACCTATTCATGATAAAATTTAATTTTATATTATATATGAAAAGAGTTAAACTTAAAAATGAATAAATCTATTTTATATATGTATATATATATTATTATAATATTTATTATACCTATTCAGATTCAAACTAATTTTTTTTTTATATATGAAGAGTCCAAGTTAAAAAATAATAAATACTTTTAAAATACCTTGTCAGGTTAAAATAAATTTTATAAATTATTTGTTAAACATCTTAAAATCTTTATAATTTAATAATATACCCCCCTTAACCATTGCAGTGCCAGTGTGAAGACGGTGCTCTTTGTGCCCTATGCCCTGCGGGATCACGAGAAGTACACTGCCACCGTGCGGAATGCCCTGGAACCCTGGGGCTACAATGTGGAGGGACTGCACACGAAGCCGGATCTCGAAAAGGCCTTGAAGGAGGCACAGGCCATCTTCGTGGGCGGCGGCAACACCTTCGTCCTGTTGCGCACCCTCTACCAGCTGAATTTGCTCGATCTCATACGGGAACAGGTGCTCCAGCGGGGACTACCCTATGTGGGCAGCAGTGCAGGCACCAATGTGGCCACCCGATCCATCCACACCACCAACGACATGCCGGTGGCCTATCCACCGAGTTTCGAGGCCCTGGCCCTCGTGCCCTTCAACATCAATCCTCACTATCTGGAACCGGAGCCGGGCAGCCAGCACAAGGGCGAGACGCGGGACGAGCGGCTCGAGGAGTTCGTGGCCTACCACGGACTGCCCGTCCTGGGTCTTCGCGAGGGCACCAGTGTCCGGGTCCAGGGCGAGAAGGCCACGCTCCTGGGAGATCGCTGTGCCAAGCTCTTCAAACCGTAAGTTAAATTTTCATTTGGGATGAGGTTAAATCTTTCATTGTGATAAGTAAGGAATACCTATATTTAAATATCTTTAAGTACTATTTATTTTGCTGAGATACAGTATTAAAAGTTCTCATAAAAAATTTTATAATATAAATTGTACTATTATTATAAATCCAAATAAATAATTTCAATATTTGCCAAGGTTCCAAAAACAATTTTAGTAAATTAAAAAAAATTTTATTTTTACCAGATCCTCTAGATCTCTAGAATATCATTAAAAACAAGATCATCTAACTACTCATTTAAAATGTTATATTATAAATTTTACATTATTATTGTAATTATTAAATGCAAAAAGTTTTTTCATTTTTACCAAGTTTAAAACAAGATCGTAAAATAAAATTAAAGTTCTGCAAAAGAATATTAAAAATTAAAACACTGTATTGAGATCGATGGCTTGTATTCTAAAATACTATTAACTGTTTTCAAACAATTTAAGTTATCAACATCGAAATTGCTATATACCTATACTTAATATTCTCACAATTCAATAAGTATTAAAGCATTCAAATTTAGATTTCTTGGAAACAAGTTTAAATTGGTTCGGTCTATAAATTTAATATAATCACGTTTTAATATATGATATTTTATTTTTCAGTATTGGCGGCGCCGAGGAACTGGCTCCCCAAACGGATATCAGCTTCCTGTTGCAGAAATAAAAACTAAGAAGCCCCCAATGATTGAGCTAAAGAAAATATATAAATTTATTGTGCATATGATACACAAACGTAATTCGTATTATTCTGCATAAAAAAAAATTCCTACACATAAACTATACTGTTATAGTCAATTTACACTATAACTAAATGTAAAAATAAGATTTTTTTTGGAACAAGAGAAGGGATTTTAGATATAAATTTTTTTTTTTAGAAATAATTGGAAAAACTATTGATGTGGTTTGAAATGGTCAAATAAACAAGTTGAAACCTACTGTGGATATATTTAATACATCAGCTTAATAATATTGAATTTCAAATACTTCTCCAAGGAGGTTTAAGTTGTATCAAGAACAGGAGCAAACGAAATCCTGCGGTGAGTAAAACCCTTTTGGTACTTCAAATAAATAATATCATTATAATTTCTAACAATATTGGTAGTATTGTATATATTTATGTTTTATATTTTTAAAATGATAGAAACATTTCTGGATATTTACAAAGCTTTAAAGGGATCATAAATGGAAACATTTCTGTATATTTACAAAATTGTAAAGGGATTTAATTTAAAACGTCAAGGTAAAAAGTAAATCCGATGCTGAAAGAGGTCTTTTTAAGTGGATAAAGATTCCATCGATCTAATTTGCTACAGATTTCAACTGATCCTTTTTCGGCAGAATCATGGGCATGTCCACCGAAATGGTGGTGTTGAAATTCTTGTAGTCCACAATGTAGCGTTCGCTTTCCTCGTCGTAATGGATAATATTTGTGAACCTCTGGCCCCAGAAAATCTCGCTTGGGAGGTAGGAAGTCTTGGCCTCTGTCAATTGAGCTGTGGCAGGGGAAGTTCCCACTATGGACACATATAGCTCGAATTGGGCAGCGTTGAATAGTTTGGCGTTGGTGAACTGGAACAGCGGACTGGTCTCATCGATGATATGGCACACCACATCGGGCCATAGGATTATTTGTTCTCCATTGCCCTCCAGTTTCAGTTCCACGTGAGTTTTTACAATCTCACCCTCGCGAGTGCTGTCAATAATAAGATAATAAAGAAAATCGTATTAAATTGAAATCATATAAAAAAGGCATATCTATTTGCAAGTTAGCTTAGGAAAAACCTACTAAACGATATTAAAAATGGCCTTAAGAATGAAAAAAAGAATAGTTTAAAACACTACTGATGGATCTTAAATCCATTTTTATTAAATTTTTTTTATTAATTATACGAAAGACAATTTTATATACTCCTTTATATTAAACAAGTTTTATGTTTGTGTTTTTATTAAATGTCTAAATCTGTGGGAAAAAGGAAACTTGTTAAAGCTTTAATTGAGTAGCATATCAGTTTAAATTGAACATTTGTATTTGTTTTCCTTGCTAAACCTCTGACATGTAAGTTATATACGTATCTCTAGTAAAGCCAAGAGATCAGTGATTTCCAAGAAAATGCGACAGTGACTCACCGTTTGTCCACGATAATGTAGACTCGTATCTTGGACTCAATGGACTGCTGCTCGCGGGGATCGCACACGCGGAAGAGCAAACACAGTTGTCCGTCGCGATAACAGATCTGCGTGAGATAATCGCTATAGGAAGGGTCCCAAAAAGGGGTTCTGCTCCCCAATATCAGGGGAGTACAAGACAGGGGAGTACACTCACCACCGCCTTGTCGCTGAACTTTAGCTTGGTAATCTGCCGGGCCGGACGCGATGTTTTGGCATAGATCACGGTGATCATACAGCCCTCAATCAAAGCCGAACTCATCATCTGCATTACGTATAGGAATATCGTCTCCGGGCACTCCTCACTGGCGTACTTTCCACCGCCCAGGGTTGTCTGCGTCTCCACCGAGTACAGTATCATGGCCACCCAGTTTTCCACACCGTATATGCAGGGTTCCTCACCCTTGCCCGTCCGTTCTCCAGTCAGAGGATCGAAGATCAAGTCCCCGTGGAAGAAGGCCACCACGTAGCATAGGGCGGCGAAGAGCAACCAGCTGAGAAAGTAACTGCCCAGGAACAATGTCAACATATATTTCCACTTCAGCTCCATCTGTGTGATTCGAAAAGAATAGCCTTTGCATAACATATACAGAAAGGATCAACGTCAAATGAACGATACATTCTAAAAACAAGACTACAGGACTACTTCGAAAGACGGGACTTCAGGTAAAAATTATCAATCTCTGTTGTATGTTATGTTATAAACGATACATCCGAGAATTCTTGGGTCTGAATTAGGATATTACCAGAGTGTTGACTAGATCCCGCATGTATCGCCAGGACTTCTCTGGAATTCGCCGGAACACCACATTCTCCTTGCCGTTCTTCTCAATTACCCGATGTAGGCTTCGTCTGAGTCCATGGGTTGAAGAGTTTCCAGGCCCGGAACCCACATCTGGTGTAAGCTCTATTGTACTGCCAGCCCAGTCGTTTGTACATGGGAAGCTGAAGGTGAGTTTTTGAAAAGATTTTTTTTTTTTCTTAAACACTCAGAAAAAATCGTTCTCACAACCGGATTATCAATCCTTATAGTAAGCCAAGATCGATTTAATCTTCCTAATTTCCAAATCGAGATAAAGCGTTCTTGTTTTACCAGACTACTTTCGTCTCGATATTTTATAATTGATCTATCAGGAAAAACAAACTTGAGAGCCTTTTCTTCTTGATTTCGAGAACGATTATTCTCGTATAGTGGAGAAGAGGAATTCTCAAATTGAGAATATGGAGATTAAATAAATAACATAGGACATTTACATATTTTGGCCATAAAATCTTTAATCTCCGTAAAGTTTACTATATGAATATGATATATAGACGGTCTCCTTTTGTTTTAGAATAAACTCACTTCTGTTCGCTGCGTGTTTCCTGCTGATCCACGGCGGTAGTCGACTTTCTCCGCCGTACAAAACTTGGACTTTCCGGATAGTAATCCTTCCCCTTATCGACAGATCGAAACAGGGGCTTCGGCTTGAGTTTCACGGACATGGACGTAGATGGTTGCTTGAGAAGGGATTTAGTGGGAGCAGATCCCAGGGAAGATCCTTCCGATCGCATGATCGAGATTCAAATTTAGGCTGCACTGGCCGACGATTACGATAGAAGGAGATCAACTCGATTGTCTGACCGCTTGACACTGACTAAGTCGGGGTACTAACTCTAAAAAATGAAGATGTGCATTTAGATTTATTTATTATCTGAACTTTCGCGCATGTGTCAGCTCTTGTTTGACTGAGATTGTTCCGCCGAGATTAGTGTCTCAAAATGTGCCCCATGATTTTATGTAGAATTTAGCCGTTATCAGCGTATTTATTTTGCGAACGATCAAATATTGCCGCAAGTCTGGCAAATATTTTACATTTTATCCACCAGGAAGGCAGTCCGATCTTGATAGCGGTTGTTGGCTAAAAGTTTAGATATTGCTATGATACCCAGATTGCTTTTTAATTTTGGCGCGCTTGTAATCGATCTTGACAACCGTTATCGGTCTTGCAACCCTGGAAAATATTATTTCAAAATATATAACTATGTATAAAATAAATAGTTTTAATTACACAAGTCTCTCAAACTGAACTAAAAATATTGCTATATATATATATTTTTTTTAGTAAGTTAGAAAATTGTTTAGTTTTAGCCAGATTAAAGAAAAGGACATCAACTGTAAAACAAGTTTCATAATAGAATTTAATATACTAAAAAAATTATAACGCCATGCCCATCTTCTGAACTCATATGAGATCGATATTTCGTATATTAAAATAAAAGTTGGTCGTTGAGTTTAATTTACTTTCTTGTTATTTATAGAAGCTCTATGTTTTTACCTTGGAAACTGATATATTATTTTTACTTATTTGATATTTGAAACCCTTGTTCGGTCTATATATACGATATTATCACATTTTTCATATTTAATATTTTCCAGCAATGACAATGCCGAGTTTTAGCTTCCTGCTGCAGAAATAAGAACTAAAAAGCCCCCAACGATTAAGTTAAAAAAAACATTTAAATTTATTGTACATGTGCACATACATAATTTGTATTATTCTGCAATAACAACAATTCCTACACATTAACAGTACAGATATGGTAATTTTAAGCTATGACTAAATGTAAAAAAAGTTTTTTTGGGACAAGGGGAAGTAGAAGTGTAAATATAATAAATTGTTCAATAAATTAATCGGATTCCCTTCGTAATCGTAATGGTAAGAATTTGACTGGCAGACTTCTTATTCGATGCTAAAACTGATGTGCTGGCAAATGGTCAAATGAATGACATGTAGAAACTTACAGTGGATATCGGCTAAGGGAAACTGGGAAGGACTTAATAATATTAATTTTTAATTACCATTTTTATGTACAAGGTTTTTTTTATATTTTATTGGAATAAAAAAGTACATGATCAATACTTTACAATAGTTTATTCTTTACATCATTTAAAGGCAAATTGTTGTCAGATTTAGATTGTATTATTTTCCCTTAGCTGATATTTACTTTTTTACAACTTAAATTTAGTTTTATATAAGAGGAACAAAGTCCAAGTAAGCACTCCTTAATTTAGACCAGTTTTTGTATAATATTTCCATTTTTGGCACACCGTTTTTGAGAGAGCCCATTTTATAGGGATTGTAACACTTTGAGGCAAGGCGGCATCTGGTTTCTTTCGTACAGCCACATCGTTCGTTTCACTTAGATGGTAGTAGTATAACACTTAGCTTAACTAGTCATTTAAATAGGAGTCAATGGTGCCCGCCTAACTTACTAGGAAACATTAATAGAGATATGTGGCGTATGCTAAGTATTTACAAGCGAAAATTAAAAATCGAATGTCTGTTGAATGGCTCGAACAACTGTCCTACATTTGTCCTACACGTTTTGGCAGCTAAAACTACGATTAGTTCCTTAGTTAACTACTAACTAATTGCTGTCTACCATTTTGAGCATTGAAAGTTTCACTTTAAAGCAAGCAACAACGGGAATTGCCTAGGCCTAAACACTAAGTTGGGGATTGAGATAGGTCCGCTACAGGTCTTATACTTGGATCCCAGTCCCTAAATGGGTTTTAATTTAAGCCTTGGGTGCGAGTATAAGAGTTGGCATAAGTCCTGTATAAGATCTATTCGACATGCACACGCACACCCGGAATCACATTCATTTCATTCACTTCAGTCACGCGCTCATGTACACATGGAAATATGTTAAAAAGGAACTGATGATATTACAGGCAGGAGCAGGAGCTGGAAAGGAGCCATCGGATCCCTGCTATTTGTGCAGAATACTTTTGTCCTCGTAGCGAATGATGGCGTCGCCGATCTGCTTGCGCGACGCCAGGTGGATGCACTGCTCCCGGCCACACAGCTCCGGCTGGCTGTCCGGCAGCGATCCTCCGCGTGCCAGGTGGTTTCGCACGTCCTGGCCAAAGCGCAGATTCGGCTCCACGCCGCGCAGAATGTGCACCGAGTGCTGCGCCGCCACGAACATGTCCAGGATGCTCTCCACGCCCGGTGGTCGCGTCTCCTCGCCGGGCTGCAGCAGCAACTGGTCGATGTCCAGGTCGCTGCGGATGATCGGCAGTCCCTGCGGATGCAGCAGCTTGCGAGCTGGAAAGTAAAATAAGAAAGATAAGTAATTAAGATAATAATCTTTTACAGTCCTCTCAATAAGGATCTCTCCCAACAAGTGAGCAGGATGAGTTCCTTTCTTTTATGTGGGTTCACAAATTCAGTGTTCATTCCTTTCTTCAGTGTTTCATTTGTTTAGTTGTTCACTTAATCAGTTAAAAAACAATTTATCCCAATAATTTTAAAATCAAATTACAAAAAGAGTTCAAATTTGAACTAATGACAAAGCTAGTCTTCTAGAAAATATAAACAAGAGCAAGTTTTATTATTTTTATATGATTTAAGCGAATACTTTTCTGTTAATTTCACTAAGTGAACTCATGTTCATTTAAGTAAGTGAACAACTGAACAATATCAACCGATTTTAGTGAACTCTTTCGAGTGAAAAACTAGGATTTGAGTAACACAACATAACTCCTCACCCTGGACATAATCCCGGCTGTAGAAGGCGATCACATCATGGTTGTGGCGATCGAAGTATCCGCTGCTCTGGCTCACATCGCAGGTGTCGCACTCCCGGCAGAACTGCGCCCAGCGGCATGGATACATCTGGAAGCCAATTGGCGCGTACACCTGGAAGCCCTGAATCGTGTTCATGCGCACGCGGTTGAGGAAGTCGGCCTTAAAGACCATGCCCGGGGTGGCCAGGAGCACCAGGGATTCGAGACCCAGCTTGGGCAGCGCCAAATCCGCCACCACCAGGCTGAGCAGCTGGCGCGGTCCGTACATGGAGGCATGTAGCAGCCAATCCTGCGGATCCACCGGCTCGCTTAGCTGCTCCGGTAGTCGGATGGACACCCAGGCTATCCGTGAGCCATCCGTTTTGTATTTCGAGGACAGGTCCAGGGCAAGCGTCTTCAATGCCTTGAAGGGATCCTCCTCGCCCTTGCTGGGCGAGTCCAGGCGGTACATGAAGATCTACGGGGAGCAACAGGATTTATTAATGAATTTAAATGGCTACTTTTTGTGATCTCACCAGCAGCAGGAAGGTGTTGTCCTGGTTTTGCATGCAAATCCTCTCGTACTGCTCCACAAACTGCATGGCATCCGGTACCTGATGCTCGAAGGCGGGCACCAACATGGCAATCCTCGTGCTCTCCGTGACGTACGGCGAGGGAACCACCTCCACGCGACCCAGTGGCTTTACCACCTCAAAGCTCTTGACCACAAGCCGGCGACTCCGGCCCGATCCCTCCTGCAGGCTGAGGTGCAGCTGGTAGTCCATGCCACGGGTGGCGTCGAACTTCCGGTAGGCACTGTGCAAACTGTGGTAACTGAGGCGCGGATGCTTAAGGGCGGCATATTGCAGTGCTATCTCCAGCACCTTGGCGAAGTCCAGTGCCTCGATCTTTGAGAGCGGCGCCACCGCGTGCTCCGCATTGCCGTGCGGCAGGAAGCTGTGCGTCCCGTTCAGCAGCTGCCATGTGAGGATGTCGTGGCGCGTCTCTGGCGCACTTGGTGGGGGTACGCCCAGTGGCCACCGGATCTCCAGGATTTTGTTCGAGATACTCCCGTTGGCGATGCGGTAGGACTTCTGCTCCAGCGCATAACCCCGCTCCTGCACCTTTTCCAGGTGGTGCTGCAAAGCAAACGGATTTATACATAAGTTGAAATATCTTTTGTAATTATTAAAAACTGATGTACACCTTTTATACATATTTATAACTTTTTTCATTTAACGATAATTGGTTCCACCTATTTTTCTTCGTCTTTATTAAGTGATATAGTCATATATCATTATCATATCATTTTTATATCATAATCAAGTCATATAAATAAGTATTATTTTAATATTTAATTATAATCGATATGAAAACTGGTATTTTTGTTCTTTAGAGCTTAGACTTTCAAAATTTATTAGCTGTTTATTTCTTTTTTAAGTGATTTAATGATATAAAATAAATATTATAAAGCGGAATATTTTTAATAAAACCTTAAACATGCATCAATGATTAGTAAAACATTTCCGATATTTATATCGGGATCTATACCGATATTTTCGATATAAGTTAGAAGGAATAGCTATGAATATGGAATGTTTTCAATAAGACCTGTTTTCCTTATCCAAAAGTTATTTGTATATCGTGTTAATTTCAATCATAGGGGATTGTAAAAATAAAATATATTTATCGGTACAGTATCGATAGCTAAAATCGATAGTTACAGCGATGGGATATTTTCGAATCTACAATTTCGAAGCATCGTAAAATCTTACCTTTGAGTAATAGGCGTGCAGGCGGTAGAAGTCCTCCGGTGTCTGGACGGGATAAACGGTACTGGCATTGCGAAAGGCCTCCTCCTTGGCCAATTCGCTGAAGTCGCGATGTCGGCGGCCCGGCGCATCCAAGGCGTAGCTATATTGCCGCATGCCCTGCAAAGCAATAAAGATAAAGATACGTTTAGATGGAGGGAGTTGGCCATGGTCAAGGTTAAGTTCAGCGCCAATGCTCGATTCCGTGGAAGGGAAGTCGGTCTGGGGATCCCACGACTGCAATGCCACATGCTCGCCTCAAGCGATCCCTTTTACGATCCATAAAATAACAGACCAACGACTGCCAGAACAAGCATAATTAAATTAACAATGTCGCACTAATGGAACAAAGATCGCCCATTCGATTGCGGATTTGCTCATATCTTTGGCCCCTTCTTGCTCTGTGCATTTTTTTCCCATTCGGAGCATTTTTAATTGGCCCGCGCACATTAATCAATTCCCCAGCAAAATGGAGCTTTGATGACGCCGTTAAGCAAACTCTTTAGGCCAGTTAATTAAGCGAAACACACTTGCATATCTCCGCATTTGTTTAGACAGCTGCAGTCGAAACAAAAACATTAAGTACATCTTCTACAATTGACAGAAAATATTTTCGCAGGATTTTAAAGATATTATCTCATAATCGATTAATAACAAAAACATCGATTCTATCGATATTAAGTTGTAATGAAAAATGAATACTTATCATTGCCTAATGAGAGTCGGTGAATATCAACATCAATTAATTTAACAAGATATTTTCCATCAATAAGTTAGTTAACTTCTTAAGTGTGTTTATGTCTAAAAAACAACTCGATAAATTAACAATCAAAAATATCGATAGTACATTAAAAAATGTAGGTATGGCCCAAATAATAAACATTATCTACTGCCCTATTTAGTTTTAAGAAAGGCAAGACCTTGATCTTAAGAGAATTACTTATTAATACGCTATTCAACAAAATTGTCAAAATCTCGCATACTTTCTTAAGTCAAATAGTTATTATATATGCTTCTATAAAAGAAATGCTTTGAAAAAAAAAGAAAGAAAGTTGACATATAACACCATAATAAACAAATGATTTTCTGCTAAAGCATACAACTCATTGCTTGAATTTTCGGTGGTATATTTACCTATAACTGTATGCTGATGTGCAGAGACCACACATAGGACATAAATCATTCCATGCTGCCCCACCGCATAAATAAACGCAAATCCAAACAAACCAATCGAAATCAAACGAACGCGAAACTAACATCTCAACGGAAAACGTTCCATTAACTCGCGGCTCTTCGACTGTTTATGCCAAACTAAACTGCGAGTTCACGTAAATAGAGCAATAATCAGAAATGATAATGACGAAGACACACCCACCTGAGTTTTGGATAAAAGGAAGTACAGTGTTTGTTGGCAAATCAATTGGGTATTTAATATAAATAGGGATTTATTTAAGATAAAACAAACAAAAAGGTAGAATTCGTTGCAATTTTATTTTAAAATTTGATAAGGCATGGTAAAAATTATTTCATTTTTGTGTTAATTTTCAATTTAAACTTTTAGCTGTTAAAATAGTCACCAGGAATTATAATATATTTAAAAAATATTTTCATTGTAGAAAACTCTGAATTTTTTGAAATTTTTTTTTTAAATTCACCAGGACACATAAATTAAGCATATGCAATTAAGTATAAATGCTGTTTTCTTTAAATGAAAAAAACAAATTCTAAAACCTCTAACCATTTAATTATCATCTGCAGAATTTCAGAAGTTGCTCTCAAACTGTCACGACGTAGAGCTCAACATTCACAGCCTCCCCGCCCAGTGCCACGCCCCCTTTACGCACACTTTATGGTCGGCAAAGAAATTCTTTTGTTGCTACTTGGAAATTAAATAAACTGTGTTGTCCATCAACTGAGTGATTCTGGTCTTGCTCTGAATTTGGTTGCTCATCTGCTCTTTGCGATGCGAGTGTGTTTGCCCGACCAGTGGCGTATGAAAAGGATATTTAGGGGGGTAATAGCATTTTTAAACGGTGTTGTGTTAGTTTTTTGGGTTTGTTCACTGAAATATTAATCCAATTCCTATTGGATTTAGAAACTATTGTTTAAATTAACAAATATATTTAAATTTGCGCGACCAGTGGCGTATGAAGGGGAGATTTAGGAAGGTAATAGCATTATTAAACGGTGTTGTGTTAGTTTTTTGGGTTTGTTCACCCAAATATTAATCCAATTCCTATTGGATTTAGAAACTATTGCTTAAATAAACAAATATATTTAAATTTGCATGACCCGTGGCGTACGAAGCTCCCCTTTAGGGGGACTATAGAATTTTATTTGCTCACTTAAATAATAATCAAATACCTATTGGACCTAGAAACTCAAATTAAATTTGTGAGTATTATGAAATTTATTTATTTATAGGTGCCTAACAAACTTCTTAAATAAATATTTTCAAGATCTACTAATTAGGGTAATACAACTTTTAAGAAATCTAGAAGTGAGCTAATAATTAATAGATCTTAAAAAAAATTCAAGACATATGTTTAGAACCCATATGAGCTAACGTTAGTAATCATTTACTAGGAAAATTTTTTAACCTTTCCAAGTAATCTACTCATTTCACTCAAAAAGAAATAAATACCTATATCACCCAAACTTTTTTTCTGAGCACCCCCCTATAAAATACCATGAACGCCACTGTGTAAGAGTACTTTTCCTTGTTGTTGGAGCTATAGACTCTTTTTCTTTTATTTTCTTTGGCGTTTCAGGGTCACTGTTCAACAGTATTGGTTGGGTTTTCAAAAACAACAAAAACTGCTTTTTGTGGTCAGTAATTATTATACAATGGTATATTATTAAATATTATCGTTTTAAGCGTAATAATTTAAAACAATCTTGATTTCTCATCCCTTTACGCAAAAGGCCTTACTTTTCGCTAAAAAAACTACTCGGCCAGAGATCAAAATATATTTGCGTGTATAAATGTCTGAATGTCTTTTTTTTAGAAAACAGCAAATTGTTTAAACAAACAAAAAGAATTGTAGGAAGCGAGCACAGATTTCGCGATAGCAATGAACTAAGAAACCCAAAAAGACAGCTACCGGCAAATTAATTGGGGCACATACAACATGTTCTCGAATCACTGACACATTTGGGAATACATTTTGATGGGTTTGCTAGATCTTTTCATTGTTGAGCTATACAGAGATATAATCAAAATATTCCCTTTTCGATTTGATTATTAGTTTTCAAATTAGCTCCTTCTTTTCAAATAAACCTCGTATTATTGACATAACATATCAAGTATTATTTTGATGGATATCCTATTCTAACATTAAGATGAAAGCAAGCTAAGAAGGTACTAAGCTCCCACTAATTTGGGGTGTACATATCTATATATGTGATATAATAATATATATATAATATTCTAGTATTAGATCATATTTTAAACAGCCCTTGAAAAAAACCACACTAAATATTTGTATACAATTGAATAACAATTTCAGTAAATAGTAATTAACAATTGTTTAGATATCCGTTAAAGCTATTTTTGTTTATAGATTTTAAGGTACTTTTTTCTGGGGGACTCACCTGAAAGCTCTCCTGGCATCCGGCCACCCGACTGGCGTACTTGACGCACCGCCCGATGTTGACGCTGTGGTCGCCGGTGCTTCCGATCCGGACGCAGCGCTCCAGATTGTTGCGCATCTTGCGGATGACACTGCTGCTGAGCAGGATGCCCGCCTCCAGGGAGCAGTAGTTGCGATCGCTGGCCCCGGGTGCCTCCTCCTCCTGGTTCCCCGGCTCCCCATTCGACTGGCCATCGACGGAGGCACTGCCTCCGGGAGCAGGATCAAGTCCAATGCGGGCACCGCCCATGTACAGGTCAAAGGTGATGCTCATGTGGTAGAGCAGCTTCACCAACTTGCGGGCATCCACGTAGACCGTGTCCGGAACCAGCAGAAAGTAGTCGTACTCATCCAGATAGTTGTCCGCTATGTACTTGACTACATGGAACGGTCGGCGACTCTCCCGCGTGTCCGTGAAGCCCACAATGTTCTTCAGCTTGTAGTTGGTCTTCACACTGTCTGCGTAAATGAAGAACTTGATCTTGTTGACCAGGTGGGCGGTGGTGCGGTTGAAGGCCGTCGCGAAGGTGTTGATGTGCTCCTGCGAGGTCATCACCCCGATGAAGAGCTTCTCGCGGATCCCCAGCTCCGAGGAGTAGTAGCGCGGACGAATCACATTTTTCACCTGCAAAGGAGGAAAGGATTTAGTATGAAATGGAACTGGTTTTATGAATTAAAATTAAAAGGGCTTTCTTTAAATAAAAGCATTGACTTAAGATAAATTTTTCAAAACGAAAATTAATACGCTTGCATACTAAACATCGACATATAGATAGGTGAATACTAGTATCTTGAAAAGGATGCACATTTTACATACTTCACCCTATATTTTTATGGTAGCTATAGTCGTCCGATCATCAAGAAATTTTATCCTGATCAGGATACATAGTTATAAAAACGATTTGCAAAGTTTCATATCAATCCACATACCAAAAATGGTTCAAATTAAAAAATTAGTTTATAGTTTTTTAGCATATCATATCTATAAGCGTAGAACCAAAAGATAAAAAGAAATTTTGGTTTGCCATTAATTTGCTAAAATTAAGAAGGAAATTTTTAATTGATCTGTTTTTCCGGTTTTGTAATCAGATGAGGTGAATGTTAAGGATGGAGCTAGCCTCTCTAGTTCCGGGAATTCTCTTCATAGCTATACCATAGCTATTCGATCTTGAAAACATCTCCAATGATTTAGGGTGAATAAATTCTTGATATCTAAGTAGATCGATCTGCTTGTGGGCGGGGGGAATAGTCAGGTTTTTGGTTCTACAATTTCCAAACATGGTACGTGACTTCGTTTGAGAAGCTGATTTATTTTTAAAATGTATAACTGAATGAATGGGTTTTGTTTCTAGCACGTGAAATGGGATAGTTATATTTGAGGGTAAGTAGTTCCAAAGAATTAACCTATGCTTTCGGAAAATATTCCTCTATCTGCTTTCTACTATTTATATTAACATTCAACAACTTCCAGCGAAATGAGTAATATTATCTCTTTATATTCACCTGCTTATTTTTAGCTTCTGACATACACTCAACCAAATAAAAGTGCGTTAAGGGTCTTGTATCTGCCCAATTACATCTATTCCTCCACGCTTAAGTACTCAAGAAGACCCGTTCAAGTGGTTCCATTTTTTCCTTGCCCACTTGAGGGTAAGTTTTAATTCTTGTTTTTACGATTAGATGACTGTTCAAAGTTTGGCACGGGAATGAGGAATTCCCCGTCAAAAGGCAATTTTATCCACTATCTTGTGGTCGTGACTGAGCTAAAAAAAATATTACCGATTGCGTTTCTCAGAATGCCTGAAAACGATGATAATGTCAGGTCATGGATTTAATACCATGTGATTTTAAAAGTTGACAACAAGATTCTCTGGGGACTTTATATGAAGTACTTATTATTATTTATTATGTCTTAGGAGAAGCATGTGACTTTTGGCAGTTTTAGTCGTTATTTAATATTTGTAAGCTGCTCCTATATCATTATATATTTAAATTGAAGTGATTTTCTGCTTACTTAACTTTTTAATCTAAATTAAAAATTAAATAGGTTCTTAAAAACGATTATACTTATTATTTTGAAAAACAAATGTTGACATGTTTTCTGTTAATTGTTATTTTATTGCAGTTGTTAAATTCTTAACCATTCGACCACTATTTGTATTCAAATAATATGTATTTTTAAGTGCGGACCTCCATAAAACTGTTGTCAATAAGAAGCTATAAACAAATACTCAAAAGATTTATAGCACCAAATCTTTTAATGGTTTTTATGCTTTTGGAATATTACCTACTCTTAGGAATTGGCAGAATTCCGTAGAATTGAAATATGGCTGTACGCACAAATCTTTTGTGACTCACTGTGCGGGGTAATTTGAAAGAAACAATAAAAATGGGTAAACATACTTCGTTTAGCATTTAAGTGGGCGTTTTGACCGCCCTTCGCAATTTGCATACATGCAACTTACTGGCTGATTTATGTACTGACCATCTTAACCCATTATTGACCCACAGAGATGCGTGCAAGGTAAGTTCACCCCCATCCATGGGCTTCACCTCGATTTCCACCTGAGCTCGTTGAATAAACAATTGCCAGTTGTGCAAGCACTTTGGACCAACTCGCTGTGTTATTTTTTCACTTTTTATATTTTTTTTTGTCCAGGTAAATGTTGACGAGGGGCTTGTGCAGTTTACAGGAATTATGGCTAATTAAAAATCATTCCTAATAGATTTTTAATAACTGCAAACAAGCTGTTTGCTGACGTATTTATAAGGCATCGTAAAGCGAACAGAGTGGCCAGGGTCAGTTTCAAATGGTATTACTACATGTTTTTTGAACACCCTAGAATTCGAAAGGCAGTTCTATAATACCAATGATCGTAATCAAATAATAGAGTTTAAGTTTAAAAAACTTTACAAGTTATGATTCTTGTTATAACATATAGTTCTAATAGGTTTTATATTAAAAACAAAAGTTTTAATTTCATATTGTACAAAAAATATAAAAATAACTATTTTAAAAATTTGTCTGTGGCTTACAATTTGGCTTACATTTTGCATGATATTTAAAATATACTTGGAAACAAATTCATAAAATTCTAACAAGTTTTTATATTAAAAACAAATGTTTTAATTTCATGTTGTAAAAAAAGAATACTTAAAAAAAGCATTTTAAAAGTTAGTCTATACTTTACAAATGTTTTTACATATTGCATATTAAAATAAGACTTGGAAACAAGTTGAGAAAAACCCTTATCATTGTGATCTTCTAATGTAAGATTTAATGATTTACGGAAAAATGCAAGAGTATGCATAGTTTTGGTTGGTTCAGATCGCGATATCTTCTGACGTATTGGATAATATTTTTTATTTGCTGGTGAGATTTGCACAGTCCTTGGATCGAAATGGATCTCAAGTGTTCGGGGATTCTGGAGGTGAAAACCTGAGAAGTGGGTTGCGGAATGGAGTGTGTCCAATTGTTGCTAGCTCGATGAGCTAATACACTCGTCTGCGGCGGCAATTAGCAGTAATCACTTTAATAAATACATATAATATTAGTGAGAGATGGACAGAGAAAAATTAGATAAGACCACTTGGACAAAATGTTTCCAAAATGGGTTTAAATAATTAGCGATAGGGTTTATATTTAATATAAATATTAGAGAGGTGAATATTATTATTTAGAAACATTTTTGGATGTAGATATATAATAAACTTGGTTTTTTTCATGTTGTAAGAACATCTAATTTATAAATCTGTTATCAAAATAAGTATAAATATTTTTCATTTAAAAATCGGTGTTTAAATTTTTATTGAAAGTTGATTTAAAGACAATTTTCGGTGGGCGTACCCGGTTTTTTCCTCTGTGGGCGACCAATCAAAGTCGCGTTAGTGGCGATCGAGAGAACCAATTTCAATTTCGATTTAATTGAATTGCACTCACTGCAGCGCCGAGTATCTCGTATCGTTTCGTATGCAATCGCTGCCCACTTAATGGGTCCATGTGGCGCTTTAATTACCCCTCTGGGGTCGCAGCTTGATCCGCGGTGGATGGGTTCAAGATCTGACCTTGCGCCAATACCACAGATATACCCCCTGATATATCTGTGTATCCAAAATAACCGGGACGAAGCACACGCACATTTGCCAATCATCAAATGTGTAAATATCGCCGAAAGATAAACCACGGGTAAAAATAACACCGAAAAGAACAACACCCAAATGGATGAGATCGCTCTCGAGTTTTGTGTTTGCTCGCTTGGATATTTTGTAGCGCTTTTGGGTAAATAAAAATGCTTTTCTAAATATGAATGATGCATGGGAAATTCAATGAATAAACTTTTTTTAAGAAATCGGCGTCAAAACAGTGCTCGCTGTGAGGTAAAACACTCTGTTATTTTAAAAAAGAAACGTTTTAAAAATGTGTTAGAGAAATCCGAACAGGAATTGAAGATAAAGAAGATATAACAAAATATTTTTAATGGAATTTGGATAACAATTACTCTTTTTGTTATTAAATTTTTTTATTAAAGTTCAAGACATCATTATTATTAAGATATATTTACAATAAATACCATGTTGTTTATAAGTATATATATTTACAATAAACACCATGTTATTTATAAGTAGTATGGTACATTTTTTAAATATTTATAGGACCATAAGTTTTTGGATCATCATCTTTCATCTGACATCCTTTTAAAATCCTAAATTACATTTTGTAATATCAATCATTTTATACAGAATATTATCCCAGCCGTAGATTTTCGCTAGTTTACCAGTGATCACTGTACAGGCTATGTATAGCAGTTCCTAAAAACTTGTCGGCTTTTAACAATTCGGTAACAAGGCCGTGCCAGGCGAATATGTGATTCACTAAAAGGTTTGTTCACCTGAACAATGAGTTCGCATCTTTGATCCAAATTCCACATAAACCATACGCCAAACGAATGGCAAATAAATTTCTAGCCAGTGGATAAATTTCCGGCACCGATCGAGGGAATCTTTTGGGGCACGTGGGCCATATTATGGGCCGGTTAGATAAGAAAAACGCTCCCAACAACCTTGTGACGTAATATGACAATAACGGAAGTGAGCCAAAGAGTTAAGAAGAGAATTTATTGACGACCAGAACGCAAGGCAATGGAACCAACTGGCTAAACGCCTTATCGATAGGGCCGCCTTATCAGTAGATATGGCTAAGACGACGTCACCATGCCAACGCGAATGGGAACAAAAGGCATTTTCAATTTCATTTTCCATTGCTAAAATTTAATTAAACACACACAGATAGGGATTTTTTGTTTGTTTACTCGGTGGCATGCAGTAAAGGCAGCTTTTTCGTCAGAGAAATAAAAAAAATAGCGCCATGACAATTATTGGAAACCCCACCCAGCATAGATATATGGATTGTGATCTATAGGGATTTGGTTGAAAAAAGGAAGATTTGGTATTCAGAGGTTTACCATTAAAAAATGGAAATATATCTAGGAATCAGCAATATATTATGTTATATTATGATTTAATGTCTAATATAAAAAATTATAAAGATAAAAACAAGAAATTTTTTTTACTTTCAGGACTATATTGTTATTCTTCAACATAAACTTAGTGTTATTCCTGGAAATCATGAATATTAAATTAAAACATTTACAAGCAAAGCCAATAAACTTTGATTGATATATATATGGCCACTTCTTACAAAATTTATTATAAGCAACGCCTAACAGAGAAATCCATTGAATCCCTGCCAAAACAAAGAATAACCCTTGTGAAAACATTCAAGAACTTAACAATATTAACCAAGAATATTACCGACATTAAAAAACTTTGCAATATCGACAAATATTGGTTTAGATTTCGGCTTGATGACTCAGGGGAGTGGGTTTAACTTGAACTTAGGACGCGATAAAATGTTTACAGTGATTATATGGCCCTTGTCGTCGTCGGCATTCGGGTGTAATAAATCTCCAGATAGCCCCGAGGGTGTACTATTTTATATGGCCGACTACTTAAGGTGTGTTTGCCCTTTTAAGCCAAGTGTAATGAGCCGAATGGATAACATCTGGAGCGTGGATGAGATTTGGTACGGGGCTAAGCAAATATTATGTCAATAAATAAACATGAAATATTTTCCCAGCAATTACAATTGAGTAATTTTCTATACTCAAGTATTAAGGCTATATTTGTACCTATTTACAAGTTCCATAGCTTTCATATTTATCAATAGAAATTAATGATTTCGTAAAGCACAGGTGATTAATTAACTCCATCAATTTTAAATGATCTATTAATTGATGTGAATTGATTCTATAGCAAATGATTTAATTACTGTATTAATCTATTTCGTTTAGAATTAATTAATTGAAAGATTTAATTGTAGGACCTGCATAAGCAAGTTATTTAAACGTTCTACAAGATATAAACAATACGACCATAATATGTGAATATGTACATATTTTAAATTGTGAAATAAAAGTTCGTTATATAAATAAAGAATTATTGTTTATATCTATTCCCTAAAATAAAGCTTTTGCGTTGATTTCCATTGAACAAATTGTGTTTAATTTATAAATTGTCATGCCCTCAAATGAATTGACTTCTTAAAGACGTCAATGAACCGCATTTAAAATCAATTATTTAAATTAAGGAATCAGCTATTGAGATACCCCTCGGTAATTGATTCAATTATAAATCAAATCGTTTTGTAATTATACGTTTGTCGTTTTATAGCTCAAATGTACGGCTTTTAGGGTCGATAGATCATTAAACTTGCAATGTATTTGAATTTGTCTGAAATCATTGTATCATATTGTTTTTAAAAATACAAAAAGCACTTATTTGTTAAGGTTTTTCTAATATATAATTTATATTAATGGGCTAACTTACAAGTAGATATATAATACATTTTGCTCAGTTACGAATATAACTTTTGCTATTTTCTAACTCAACCACTGATTTCAAATACCTTAAGAGCCTACCTAAAATCGGATTTAAATTGGTTGCCGCACCGGCAGTACCAAAGTCGACACCTTTGCATCATAAATAAAGTATATGCAGTGCCCAGAGAGATTTGGCATACGGATCAGGTACATATAGCTTATATAGGCAGCTGGCAATCTCGGGCCTTAGCTTTTTTACATGTCCAGTAGAGCTGTGCAGCTGCAAATTGTATTGGATTGGACAGAAATCTTAATTGGGACAAGTGCGCCGTCGACCAGACACCGAGTTTTTCTAACGCCCGCGGGGGAGGAATACTATGCTCTATGGTCCATCGTCTAGTCCGAGGCTTATGGCAATTTATTGGGGCCGCCAACTGTATCGCAACTGTACAGTCTGCCTCCGAATAAATGCCTCGATCCTCAGACTTCAGACCGGAAGTGCGACGCGCTTTTCAATTAAGCCCCAGCCAAGATGTTACCATTCAGATCTGAACGATCTGAATGATCTGAGTATTCCGGGCGAGTTCAGTGGCAATGTGGGAATGCCCCACAAAACTCCCAAGGGGATCGTCACCCATAGAGACCGCATCCCGCTGCTTCTGTTCATTATGAATGACTTCGGGGATTAGATCATGGAAAATTTAATTCGAGCCTCTGCTAATAGCATAAATGGATTTAAATTATATTAATTAAGCAAATGCCTGCTAAATTCTAGTAATTACAAGACAGATTTAATCCCAGGTTAAGCGATGGTTAGGGGTTTAAACTTTAAAATAAATGGTTTAAGTAAGAGCCTAAATATTATTTATATCGGTATAGTAATTTTGATAGATTTAAATTATATCAATTAAGCAAATGCCTGCTACACTCGAGTGATTACAAGAAAAATTTAATCCCAGGTTAAGTGATTGTTAAAGGTTTGAACATAAGAAAATAACTTTCCATTCTAAAAGTAAGAAAGTAAGTTAAGTAAGTAAGAAATAGATTTAAATTACATAAATTAAGCATGCTAAATTCTAGAATTCTTTCAAGACAGATTTAATCCCAGGTTAAGCAATGGTTAAGGGTTTAAACTTTCAAATATAAAAGTATCCCAAAGTAAATAGCCTAAATGTTGTTTAAATCGGTATAGAATGAATCGGTATATAATGTTTTCTAAGAAATGTTTATTTGATTTTATACTTTTTTTGCAGTCTTAACTTTATAGATAACAGATTAATTGATCGATTGCAAACGCAAATTGTTACTGTTAGATCACGCAAGCTCATTATAGAAAAATGCTTAAATCAGTTTGCAATTTACAAATTAGTATATTTAGTTAATATTGTATTTAAATCTCAAATGGTAATCACATAGTTTCCTTATTCAAAATTCGTAGAACCGCAAAATCAGATACAATACATATATAATTAACAATCTATTTAGATTGAAGATTAGTTTGCTCTGTTGATCTTTCAGGGATCTTCCTCTATATAGATAACCTATTTATACGTCACAAATTCTTATCATACATTTCTTTATTATCAAGCTTCAATTGTTTGATTATATAATCGAAGGAACAAATGTTATTTCGTGTGATACTTTACTTTTATCTTTATAGATTCAAGATTATCACACCATGGGTTTCAAAGAGCATTTGAGTCACAGGATTATCAATTGAGTGGCTGAATTTGCCCCCAAAGAGTTATAGATTCGCTTGTTTGCCAAAGTAATCCAAGAAAGTTGGACACAAATCGGTTATCGGACCAGGTTTAACTTCTGATTCCGGGGGGCTACGGTTTCAGATTCGGTTTCGTTTTCAATTAGAATCTTGCGCAACTTCTACACCCGATAAGCGTTTATATTTATAGACATAGTGCTTCGCTAGCCAGCTGATTAGTGGGCCCATGAAAACCAAACCCATTGATCGGCCAGAAAGGCGATCATTCAAAGGGGCAACGAATCTTTATTCAATACACATGGGGAAATCTAATAAACGGATTTTTTTTGTTCGGATGGTGGACCACTTTGAGTGCCTCATTTGCTTTTATGCATTCCGGAACCCATATACTTGTCGAACAGATAGTCACCCACATCGCTGGTGGCCTTCTCCAACTGGCAGATGTAGTCCGCCAGGACCTTTTGACCGTCGACCTGCTCCTGCAGGAAGTTCGCCTCAATGAAGTCACAGAGATTCGGATCCGATTCCTTGCCTGCCAGGGTGTGCAGGTCCAGCAGATGCTGGTTGACCTCCAGTTCCATTTTCAGGGCCACCTTCAGGGCCTCCAGACTGCTGGCGAAACAGGGCAGCGGCTCCGGTACACTGCTCAAAATGATCAGACCTCCGCGCTTGTTCATGTACTGCATGATCTTCTCCGCGTGCTCCCGCTCCTCGGCGCTCGACTTCAAGAAGAATCCGTACAATCCCGGGGAACTTATATCCGAACGATCGAAATGATAGGCCTGAGGGGATTTTATATAGTATTTATATACCCTATTGTACCCCTTCAATATTTGGTTCCTACATAGCAGAAATAACAATGAAATAAAATGATCTTACTAGGTAGGATTTCTTAATGTTATATAATAAATATAAAATATACATAATGTATTCTATATAATACAAATATATTATATTTACATATGTACATAATATATTTGATATAAATTATTAAAAACAATAACATAAAAAGGGGTTTCTTAACTTAATCTTGCATATGATACTAATTATTCTTCTTGAAATTTTTAATTAGGAAATGTAATCATAGATTTTTGTTAAATTATAGATTTTTTTGATACTATAACATTTTCTTTTCTAACATGCATACTTAATTTTAAAGTTTCTTAAGATTTACATTTTTTCCACACGTTTTGTGCCAGAATATTTTTAAAGTTATTGTATATATGACGGATAACGAAATATTGCTTAGGATCTATGAGATATCCCTAGGGGGTTCTTAAAGATATCTTTTCTGATCCGTTATTATATCCCATACCGAAGATCCCGGCTCCAGGACCACTCACCATGGCCAAATACTGATGGCATGCCTTCAACTCCATGTTGATCTGGTCGTTCAGCTTTTTCTCGCAACTTTTGGCGAAGTTCTGACGCATCAGCATGCACATGTGGCGCCTAATGTTGCGGAAGCACAACGCCATGTCTTTTCCCTTTCCTCCAATTTTTTTGTGATTTTTTTTCCAAAAATTTTGAAACTCAAACAATTTAAATTGAAAGCCAAAACACAAACAGTATGTCTAAATGCCAACTGGGTCGGTTTGGACAGGTGTCGAGAGATCGGAAAACGGTCCATTCAAGTCCGTTCATTGATCTGCAGATTTCCGAATCCCCAGATCTCCAACATCGATCATCGGGATCCCAAAGGTGATGATCCACAACAAAACTGTGGGTTGGAGTTCAAAGTGCTGCCGGCTCTGATTTCACTTAACTTCCACTTAGCAATAGTGTGTACACACAATCGCACTCGGTCCGTTCGCATATATACCATATATAAGTACGTATAAATATATATCTGTGTCCAGATATGTTTGCTTTGACTTCAACAAGTACACACGAACACGGACACACTAAGCAAACGCAGTTATTGTCTTTTATTAAGTGAATGGAAGACGACTTTTGTCCGAGTTTTGTATAATCTCGTTATACCCTTTCACAGGGTATTGACCTGTTTGGAACTGAGGATATGTCTAGGTCAAGATATAACTAATTTTGTAAATTCATTGTTCCAAAAACCATTAAAAAAAAATTTTATTTAGATCCTTACTTCACTTTAAATAATACTTCTTATTAATAAGATTACGGATTTATCAACATTACATTTTAACCAGAAACGAAAGGATAATATTTCCGGGGCTATGAAAATTAAAAATTATAACATTTTACTAACATATAGCTAACATAGCTTTAGGTTAAGGGTATTGGAAATTTGAATATCAAAGATATAGAGTTCCAAAACCTTTTCTATGACCATCCAACTGACCCAACCACCCGTACTTTACTACAAACATCTACTCATTACGCACATTAAAAAACCAACAAAAAAATGGTGACTCTTGAGCCATGTGCGCCTCATAAAAAGGCAATAATAAAGATATAAGTAAGTATTTTTACCGACACAAAAAACCGAACCCCAAAAAAATATACATAAGAGTTATGCAAATCATCGTTAAGCTGGACATAGGCAATTTCTAGAAATAATATAGAATTTCAGTATGGTTTTCAGTATTACCTAAGATTATTAATCAATATTATTTGCTCTTAGGTATGATAAAATTACATAAACTGCAAGAGTTTCGAAGTCTTTACGTTATGATAAATAATAATCTAAGTCACTCTATAAAACCAACAGCCGAGCAAAGAAAAAATAATTGAGAAATTTTCTAAATGGTTATAGAGACAATTATCATATTAAGATAATTATCAAACAGGTCTACATAGTCACTATAAAATAACTTTTTCACTTAATAATGGTGTTCAATTATCAAAAAACTTAAAAGAAATTTGTGTGGTTACGAATAAAGTATACTTAATATATATGATCTGTATTTCTACAAATACAAAAATCCACTTAAAAACTCAGTTACTTATGAATTCCCCTTTGGTAGACCCATCAAAGTTCAAATTGGGACATGTATGGCAACTTCGGCGACACTTTTACATTACCTCCAAAATTATGGAAACAATCCAGTTTGCGAGGTCATAAAAACGTGCAACAAATTATTAACATTTTTTATTAAGCTGCGGCGTCACAAAAAATTATATGTATATATATCCGACGTGTTAAACAAAACGCAAACGTCAGCATATGAAATCAAAAAAAGTCAACATAATTTGCTGAACATGAGGTCGAAAAAAGCGTACGCCATAAGAAAATATTTAATCGATTTGAATTATTGTCGGAATGATACTCTTTCAAAGGGTGTATAGCTTATTCTGAAAGTTTCTAGGCATTTCATTAATTTTAGAATTTAATTTTGAGATATAAATAATAAATCGTCATAATATAACTAAATAAAATACTGCGATTTTCAAGATTTTTTGATTAAGCATTGAAAATTAATTTTTAGAGGTTTAATAATGTATGAAAACTGATATTTCTGATAATATTAAAATCATATATTTTGTAATTGTGGAACTGCGTATAATACTATTATATCTCCAGATATATAATTAAAAATAATCTGATCTCTTTTTAAGCCCTGATTAAGTATTTGTTTAATTTTAAAGCGTATTCCAAGCTCGACCTTTTGAAAATATCACGTGTTTTTTCGCGCACATAGTTTAATTCAATAAATTTTGCTTTCGATCGCCGTACCAACATTGGAAGAATTTACAATACATACGAACCAAGTATCAGTTAACATTTCTTTACTTTTGCTGCGGGCCATAATTTCCAATGCGTTTATTTATTTAAATTTAATTTACGAGCAACCAATCGTCTGGAATTCACAGTGGCAGTGCATTCAAAACTGTGAAATGGGACCTGGTCAAGAAAAATAGTAGGAAAAAAAAGTGAGGCAGGGGCAATTTGAGAACTTTCCACAAGTCACGCTAGAAGTCGAGCTTTGCACGAAATGGAAAAAAATAAATAATAAAATAAGTCCAAGAGCGGGAATTTGAGTTTGTGTGCGAGGAGTTCATCGATAAGTGGACAAAAAGTATATAAAGTGGTTGAAAATTGAAGCAAAATTGGGCACTGGGTCTACATAGGCTGGTCAGGCGGTGTGGAATGGGTCATTGCTCCCGGGAAATACTTTAAACAATATGTGAAACAAATGCTCGGTGTTAATTACAGTGCCCGCTCGGAAACTATAACTTGTTGATTAAGAGGTTTCTCTCGAAACTAGAAGAATCGTTATGAGGTACACGTGTTGCCAAGGAACTAAGAAGATTTCTGCGACATGTGTGATGGTATCTTGGGATTTTTCCTATTAGGTAGATATTAATTTTATTAAAATAATTTTGGGGACCTAAATATACACCGATCAAACGTTTTCTATAAACAACACCAGTTGTTCATTAGTTTTAGAACCCATTTTTAGAATTACTTAAGAGGATCTGTACAACTCTATATATTTATATCTATTTCTAATCATTGGTTCGATTACCTGGTAAAGATTTACAACATTTGGGCTTTTAATTTATATATTACCTAGGCTTTTAGAGTGACTTTAGCTTTAATCAATCCTGAGCGAAGAAATTCAGGGTAGTCGAGTGTGGCGTTCCGGCGATAAGCAGGAAGGTCTATAAAACCTTATCAGCACTGTCCGATGGCCGATGCCTGATATATGAGACATGTGGCTCGATGCCGGCGACGACTAAACATTTGCATTTTTTTGGCTACTATTTCACAGCCAGCGGAGGAGGCGCCGCAAATTGAAGCGGGTTGCGATCCAAGAAATTTGATTTTGTGGATTCGCATATGATTATTTTTTTCATTAGACCATCTTAATAAATAAATAAATCCAAAAAGAACATAAGCCGTACAGATATGTATCACATTTAAACCAATGATAATATTGTAAATAATCATTTTGCCATCATAACTCAAGTCTAAGTCCTATCAGACCATCATAACTTGGCTAAATAAAGAAATCTGTTTATAAAAAGCCAGAAATAAAATTTTCTGAATATTTTATGATGTTTAAACTTTAAGAAATTGTTTAAAATTATGGCAATATAGCTACAAAAATAGGAATATTAATTATATTATTACATCTATTCTCATGCGGAAATGGTAATAGCTATGATACAGCATTTTTTACCGTATATGAAGCAGGATGTAGGATAAATTTCCGCATCTGCAATTCAATAAATATTTGACACTTTTAAGTAAATGGGCTACTATTGGGAATAATCAAAAAATTATGGTAATAACTATCTGAAAATAGTAAGTTATTATTTAATTTTTTATATTACAAAAAAATATAAAAAAGAAAATTGTTTTTATAAGATTTACAAGATCTGTTCCATGCTAATCGACAAGTTATGGAAAATATAAATATCCCAATATATTTCAAGGTTTTAATGATAATCATCCAACTTTTACAGATTATGAGCAAAAAAATCCTAAAGATACTTATATTGAACATTTAGCGATGGGAATAAAAATATATTTTAATGTATTTCAAGGTTTTACCGGTAAATATCCAACTATGGAATATTTTTGAGATCGTGTGATTTAAAGATCGTGTGGGACTTCTATCTTTTTTATGTTTTCAGCACTGGGAACAGTTGACTTACCGGCTTTTTGGCCGCCAGCGGCTTGTTGATGAGGTTCAAATGGGGCTCGAACTCCTGGCCGAATCGTTCGATCAGCAGGTTCTCGGCGGCCTCCTGGGGACACTCCTCCTGCTGCACCAGCTCCCAGATGTCCTGCGGAATGTAGAAGCTGAGCAGGAGGCCCAGGATCAGGCCGATGACGAAGTAGTGATTCCGATTCAAGGCGGTAACGGGTCTCCGCATGTTTCCAATTCCCATTCTACCCCTTCCCCTTCCCCTTCCGTTTCCGCTGCCGTTCCCACTTGAACTTGACCGCCGACTGTTCCCACCACCGCGTGCAAGGGAGACGGCAAGCGGCGAGGATGTGCGTGCGCTTGTGCGAGGGAGAGAGTGCGAGTGGGAGTGCGTGAGAGAGAGCGAGGGAAACAGGAGTCTTGACCAATTTGTCATTTGCACATCTTCGGCCACTTGTTGCTGTCGCTTTCGCCTCTCTCTTCGTCCGTCGTTCTCCTTTGGTTCGCCTTTCTCCTTAGCCTGTTTTTTTTATTTTTGGCACTTTTTGCCGCTCTCCTCTTTTTTCGGCACGCACTTCTTTAGCAGCTCTCTTTGCGCCCTCTTCGCTTCTTTCATTTTCGATACATTTTCACTCACTGAAAAAATCCGCGCGCGTTCGTTCGATCGCTTTTCCTTTATTTACACCAATTTGCGGCAAGAGGCGGCGGCAAGGGCGAAAAAAAATAATAAAAAAATTCGAGCGGTGAAATCGGCCGGTTTTCCGCTGCGCGCAAAGTGAAAAAGTAAACAATTGGTGGGATGGCTGGGGATGTGAAAAATATACAATACATCGATATTTCGAATAAAAAAATATATATCGATAGTTTTCACCTGTTATATCGCTACTATCGCTATTTTTGCGCCGCTATCAGCAATCGTAAGTGCCAGAAAACAAAAGTATCAGTAAAAGAGGGAGACAAATAATCCAACTTTCCTCAAGCTAAGGATTTTTTCAATAAAAAAAATATTTACATATATCGTGATATTTTGGGTCTTTTTTAAAAATCACCAAAAAAAAATTTTGGTGCTGAAATGTATAGTTCATAAATGTTAACTATAGAATTTATAACCGAAATTATTTGTCGGAAATGTATAAGTTGCATTGTTAATAGTTTAAGTAACATACGTGTTCAAAAGTTTTCAATTTGAGTATTAAAATTCATATTGATTATTTTTTTCCTAAAAAATAATTGCCAAAAAATTAATTCAACTAAAATATATCAAAAATGCTCCAAGTATCGATATTTTTCGGGTGATTCATATTTAATCCATTTGATATTTTTTTAAATAATGATATATTATCAATACGATATTTTTTATATTTCTACAACGTCGATTTTTGGCCCGCCTTATCATCGATATGAGACATCGACGATGCATATTGATATTATGTGCCCGTGACATCGATAGTCCCAATAATAGTGTGTTCACACTGCGAACGTTGTCCAAAGTTCCAGATACCCATAAGTAAAACCAAAAGGTTATCTACAGCGGTGGCATTTGACAAAATTATACTTTTGCCCCCTCCCCAACTAACTAAAATCTGGTTGTGCAAAAATAGCTAAAGGCCTATTCACACTGTCATTTTAACTGAGGGAATGGATAAAGTTGTTTCGACCCATTCACACATTTACCAGGCTGCAAAAGCTTGACATACAAATTTGTTTGAAAAATCCCAATTAAACCAAAAGAAATACTTAAATAATAGTGAGTTCCAATATTAAACTAGTGCTTTGCAGAACAATAAATTAATACATTTTTTATTACACTGCGAACTTAGTGACATCCCAGATTGTTGATTCTTTTCGCTTCAGCTAGTGCACGTTGGTAAAGTCTTGCGATTGTCTGCGAAGATGATTAAACGAATGACTCGATTTTTTGGGGAAGTATTTGGTAAATCAAAAGATAATAGATTGAGAAGCAAGATTCTTTTTTCATAAATCCGGCTTTTTTCGAATGTTGCTATTTAAAAAGATGTTCCCCAATTAATTGAGGGAGTACCCCTACTAGTGCAACATTTTATAATCGATCGATCAGCCACCGCAAGTGGTCTATCGATATTACTAAGCATTTTGTTCACATCACTAATACAAAGTTTAATTTGTTTTGATGTGATTTTTGTACTGTTATTTAAATAATTAGTAAGAATCTTATAATTTAACTTGAAGATCATCTATTGATTATATAATTTCAGAGCCATGGAGTTGTGAGCATGTCATACTGGGCTAGTAAATTATGACAACATGATCAATACCTTTGATGAATTACCAACAACGGAAACTAATTATCCCAATGGAGTGGCTATTAAGTGGTTGGAATCCCTTTCCCATAGACTTATTTTTAGAATGCACCAAATGCGTTTGGGATAGAGCGTGTGGAAGGAGTCAGCAAAGGATTTCCTGAAGGACTTCATCAGGGAAGAAGAACCATATCAGAGGGATCGAATCGCGCCAATAAAAACCTGTCAGGACTAAGACTCCCTTTAGGAAAAATATGTTCAAGCAATTTGGAGCATGGAGGAATACTAGTTCCAATGAAGAAGACATTTTCAGGGAAGAATATTACCATATCTCAGACGACGACTTTTAAGTGGATGGTGATAACTTACAGGGACAAGAACAGAACGTACAACAATAGTCCGCTTTTATATCCTTATAGTCCAAAGCATCTTCAACGTATGGGATACTAACACAACATTTTCAATACCACTCAGATGAACGGTATTCAATAGCACCAAAAACTTTGAAAATTGTAAAATTCTAAAGGTACACTTGCGTATCCACATTACAGAATGATCGAAAAATGGATCCCACTTCTAAAAGACATCCAAAACTAATTTAGATCTTCGACCACACTTGTAAAAAGTGAATCTATTGTTGCAGAACCGTTACTAAGGATTCACGTCTTAAACGGTATTTGATAAAGCACTTGGTTTTACTATTAGTACCAACACCCTTTATCTACATTTTAAATCTTTACTGAAAAGTTAAGAGACAAAGAAAGAAAACTAATGAGTTTTTTAACGTGTTACCCTAATAAGTACATTTAAAAAATACTTAAGATATGTTTACTACCTTTTATCTACTAATATGTTAATTTAGGAATTCATTTAATATATTAATACCATATGTTTTGTGATAAACTAAGTATTTCTTTAGTTAATATTAAATGATGTATTCTCTTAAAATCCAACTGAATCCGGGATTTCTTTTAAAAATGTATATAAATTAACCAAAGTAATAAAAATGGTTGACAGTTTTATGATCACGCTAATCTTTCTTTAAAAGCAACAGCTTATTTTAATTTGTAAAAAATAAGATGAAAGAGCCTTTTCTTTAAATTAAGAGGACTTTGCGGCTCCTTCATTAAGACTTATCGTACCTTTCACCTATAAAAAGTGTTATAAAAGTATGCCTAGCCCAGCCAATGTTTGCTGTACTACCTCTGCACATCAGCACCTTTAACCAGGGGCAGTGTTTACCTTTTTGTGTGTCGCTTTCGGCTAGGCGCGTAAAACGTATTTTTAATTGCTTGCTCCACTGTCACTTTTCTTCGGCTCCGCAGCCGCGGACATTGTAAAAGTTGTTTGCCATTGTTTTCACTTTGCCAGCGACCACAATTGATGGTCCGTTTGGACTTGGAGGCCAAAACGACAACGATGCGATGGGAAATCTTCGCGCTGCCGATGATAGCCATTTGGCAATGCAATGCGTCTGCCGCGGAGGCACTCTAAAATGGGTCAGCAGCAGCAGCAGCAACTTCCCAACAGCAACATCGAAGCAGCAACAGCAACATCGCAGCAGCAACTGCAACATCAAGGCAGCAACAAGTTGGCTCTTCAGACCGCCCACTCCATTCATCATCGATTAAAGCTGCCAAAAGATGCAGGAGGCTAGGGATTTATGACTGCTTTATTACCTATTATGTACAGATTTACTAAGAAAAATTTTTTTTTGTTAAATTACCAAAGCATTTGAAAAATATTTTTTGTATGAATTGTACATTTTATTTAATTTCAATTTTTTAATCCTAATAAGCTTATTTCTGACTCGACTGCCAGTTGACACTCAGTTACCAATGTATGTTGAGATATAAATCACATTTTATGTTACTTTAAAAATCCACAACAAATCTTTTTTACCATCAATTTTTTCATAAACTGCTTGTTCGATTTGCTAAGATGCCAACTTCAACTTGAAAGCAATAATACATTTTGAACGGATTTTTTTTAAGTTTTTACAACATGAAAATCGGACTTACAGTCGTGTAAAGTTTCATTTTTTTTCTTGATTGAGCTCCTGCGTCGGAGATACTTATCGAAACATATTATTCTGTGGAGGAAATGAAGTTCTGATCTATTGTCATTAAAAATATATCAAAACAAGCCGAATTGGTTGGCTACAACTAAAATTATAAGTTACAATAGGAAACACTGTGACAAGTAACATTTAAAAATTAAAAATCTTAAAAAAAATTTGCTATCGAAAAATTATATTATGACATTTTCATGATCTAGGGGTCCAAATCTAACAGAATTTTGCATCAAGGGCTTGTAAGATACCTAGTGATGTTTTAAAATTATGTTGTTTCCAACTAGTATACAAAAACTCTAGAATTCAATAGGTATTTTTTTCAATAATTATGATGTAGTTTATTAAAAGAAAAATAAGAAAATATTTTTTTATATGCGATAAGGGGTTAGGAAATCTTTTTTCAAATTAATAATTTTAAAAATCCTCAGGGTGCCTAAATATTTATTAATTTTTGTGTTTATTTATTTTATATATTTAATATTTTGGCTTATTTATTTTATTTCAATTTTGTTTTATGGGTTTTTCTTTTTTCCAGGGTATCAACAGGTGTTTTTCCGTTCACCTGCGTTCTGTGCGTTGTTGTGATTTTTGTTGCCGCGGCGCAGCTTTTGCTTTTGACACATTTTCGCGGCTGTCTCGTTGCCGCCGACGCTCAAAGTTGTCGTTTTTCTTTTTTTTTCTGCTTTTTTGTGTAGTTTTTTTGTTGTCTGTAGTTTCTCGGCTCTCTTGGCTTTTGGTTTTGGTTTTGGGCCCGATCGATCAGTTAGTTGCTGACTTTGCGCGGCAGCGAGCGGTTTGCATTGCGATTGCTGTGCCGGTTGTTCAATCCACTTACATACATCGCACATCGCTGAATTGCCACTGCGGTTGCGCATGCGCCCCATCGGAATCGGTGGAAAAATATAAGCCTTCTTTTGGTCGTTTTTTTGACGTGAGTGTGAGTGTGGAAAAGTGAAACTGACCAGTACAAGAAACCGAAAATTAAAAACCGAAAACAGTTCTGAGTGCATAATTTGCGTGGTGCATGGTCAAAGATAATATAGACTATTTATTAGACTGTTATTTTATAGTCTTTGGTATGGTGCTGCTGTGTTTAAAGTTGTTGCATTCTTCTTAGAAAAAATTGAGATCCTAAATTATGATCCCTATAGATGCCTTAGATGCACCTTTATGTAATAAAGATCTTAATTAAAAATGTTTATATTTAATTACTAACATTTTGTGATGTTCCAAGTTGATTAAGTGTATTTAAAAGTATAAGGCACATAAATTACATTCATTTATATGTGTCTATATATATTTTTTTAAGTGTTTATAATGCAATGTATCTTTTTATTTTAATTTCCTTAAATGTGTTAATTTTGTAGGAATTAAAAATTTTTTTTATAGTTTTCTTTTTGCATTAAATAATGAAAAGTAAATTTAGGACGTAAAATTAAAAAGTTTTTTTTTGCTAAAAGCATTTTTTAAAATATTTGAGTTTGATTTAAATTTTGATTATTTTGTTGTCTTGTTTTCTGCTGTTGTTGTTGTTGCTGATGTTGCATTTGTGGTTAATGTTGTCCATAAAAATGGCGCGCAAGTTCAAAAGTGCGCACTCATTGGAGATCCACGGATCTGTGGCAAATTCCCATAGTTGTTGTCGTTGCTACCTTTTATGGCCAAACTTGATCAAGAAGTTGCAGAGTCTTACACTGGAAAATATTCCAAAAAATAAAGAAAACTGCACAATCGATTAATGGTTTAAGTTATACAATACGTGCATTTCAATTGCATATACTTAGTATGTTCCCAACCCACTCCTTTTACTTTTTATGTGAGCGGAATCTTAAACAATAATCTAGTTTATCATTTAATGTACATTTTTTTTTCTTGGAATTTTCTTGATAAATTTATAGGATTAAAATTAAAAGTATAATTAGGAATACTTATTATTATTATTAAAAATATTCACCTAAAATGCGAACCACTTTATTATAAACTGTAAACATAAAAGATAATAAAGCTATTGCTTAATTACAGATTTTATTTCAGGGATCGAAAATAATCATTATTTTTGATTTTCTTCTATTAAAAAAATTATTCATTACAATAGTCGGAAAATAAAACTGCAATAATCATGATTTTTGAATTGTTTTTGCTCAAAAATAATTCTTATTATTATAAATAATTATTATTATTATTTTTGGTATATAGCTTTTGACGATTAAAGTAAGGTCCCTGTTTTATTTAAATGTCAGTGTGCTTTAAAGCAACCTACCCCCTTTTTTTTTACAATTACAACTTAATTAATTAACTTTTAATAGTTTTCAAAGGTCAAAACTTCAGCAAACATTGAGATATTTTAGTAAGCGATATTTAAAAAAAAATGATGGGTAATCAGCATAAATGCAGATCTCTGTTGCTTTTTGGTTTTGACCATGATACGGATCATAAACTTGGTTACGTCTGTGCCAGGTTTATATGGTACATTTTATGTATTGCAAACAATATGACTGTTTTCTGGCCGTGCACACAATGGATTGGGTTTTGGGGTCTGTTGCTCTAGGAATGGGTACGGGAATGGGAATGGGAATGGGAATGGCTATAATGGCTTTACGAGAATGGCCATAATGACAATCGCGGGACGGATTAGCGGGCAGTTGTGAAGTGCGACTTGGTTGATGGATTCTCCCCCTTCCAGTTGCATAATCATTGAGCTTTTGGAGCTTTAGGTGCCATTCCAAAACCATCCATGTGCACATTTCTCATTCGCATCTTGCTTTCCGTGTGCCACAAGCGCAGATCAAAACTGGAGCAAATTAACCGAGATTAAAGCCCACAATTAGGTGCCCAATGTGAAAGTTAAGGCAGATCCGAAGATCCGAACACTGGAAACCTGTTGCTTCTTTTTATTTTCTGTATTTAGCCGCTGGTGTGGTGGTCGTTTGTTTTTTATTTCTTATTTTTTTCGCCGTATTGTGGCTCATCTGCAGCCATGGCCACTTTTACTGCACTCCCTCGGCCGCGGGAAAAATACAAAAAAAAGAAAGAAAAAGACCAGCATTCAAAGACATGTTAGCAAACTGATACTTGGAATACCCTGGGCATTTCATTATTTTACTTTAAAATTTTAAGTTTAAATACATAACGATTTTCTAGACTCTTTAAAGCTGCAAAGTCCTATTACAATTTTTAAAAAATTCAATACTTAATATTTTTAAATAGAATTTACTATTTGTTTTAATGACATTTTAAAATATTTTTTAAAAAATAAAATTATATAATACAAAAAGTAGGTAACCACAGTTCATTTCATTTAAGCCCCATTTTTTTGATTTGCTGAGTTTTCTTCCTAAAAATTTGTTTGTTGTATTTAATGCTTTAAAAAAAAATCAAATTTTAAGAGCCAAAAATAAATTGTAAAAACAAAATTAATTGTAAATTGTACCCTTTAAGTTCTGACAATTCTTTAACAAGCTTGAGCTTACAAAATGATTCAAAATAAATTTTGGGAAATACAATTTGGGATTCAATCATTGTCTATGAACCCTCTCATAGGATGTTCTTTTAAAAATAATTGATTTGATATTTCCTATAATTTGTATACATGTTATTTATTTTTTTAAAGATAATACATTCTTTATATTGATTTAGAAAATTATTTTAATTTTTTCCTTCATCTCTTTTAAAATTAAATATTTTTAAAACCAAAAGTAAAGGTGATGCATTCCAAAAACTAATATACATTAATTTTAATTTTTTTCCTTATCCCCTTAAAAATTAAAATTTTTAGAACCAAAAATTAAGGTGATGCATTCTTTATATTGTTGTGTTTGGACTCCCAGTCTTTAAAAACAGATTTACAATAAGTATCTGATCTTGTTTTGATCCT